TCCGACATCTCTGACACACAAAGCGCGGTAATTAATCTCTCCGTCCGTCTTATATATAGCTGTGAACTGTAGATCTTGTAGGCACTATTGGCAACGACACCTTTCGCTACTGTGATCAGACTATCAGCTTTGTCTTCGACGAATAGGAACGAATACGCTCAACCTCGTTGCAATATTATAATTTTTTTCTAAAAAAATAGAGAGATCTAAAAAATAGAGGGGAAAATTATCCCGTTAGCTGTTAGAATTACTCTTGGAAGTATGTGAGCTGTACCAAACAATGTCAACAGGCCCTCTTCGTGTGTCCGTACGGTGCTATACTAAGTTCTCATACTGAGTTTTTTCCTTTTCTAAAAAAAACTTCCCATAAGCAAATGACTGCGACGGTGCCACAATGACGTTACGTCGCGATCGGTTGATCGCATCCTCAGAACGATTCACTGCCATGCGACGAGCTTCGTAAATCACTTCGTTCTAGCCTTACGTCTGCGTGTTAATTGTTAATATGCCAAATGAAAGTATAATTTAATAGAACAAGTGGCTACAACTGACTTGAGAAGCCTTTCCTTAAATTACCTAGCTATTTAGTAGCTGAGGATTTTCTGGATTTTTCTGGCTTTTCGTCTTTGCACCAAGTGATCACCATCGCCATCGTCATCAACAACGAAAGCAGCATCCCTATTAATTTGTAGCCTCACAATACGAAAGAAACCATTCGCCTCTCGTGTGCCTGCTTTTTCTTATATATATATATATATATAAGAAAAAAGGTGTATATACCGCAGTGATGGTACTGCTCTGCCCAGATTGTACAAACATAAGGCCATATAGTAGCACATGCGGGTGCCAGTAGAGCGCTTGTGGTAATGATAGCGGCGGTGTCGCGCGAGAATCGCTCGAGAAGAGAGTATAATCAATGTCATGGTCGCGTTGATGTGGTTGGGGAGGTTTGGGCACCGGTGAGACTATAAACGGTAGTGCCGAAAAGGCAAGAACATGATGCGCGGGTAAGAAGGGTTTCTTAGTAGTGTTCGTAGAAACACTTCGTACACTGCAGATATCCAGCCACGCGACGCATCCTGTAATGGCAATAATTTGTAAATATACTTCACGATATATATATCGTGATGCATGTTTCTCTCGAAGTGAAGTAAGAGTTCTGTTATATCGCACAGATACATACAGGAAACACGATCAAATATGGCGCCGTAGTTAAAATGAAAAGCGTACATTTGAGCTTTTTCTGTTAGTTCGTGGCTGATTTATGCTGCTGTTACACATCTACGAATAAAATTTTCGTCTGTGACGTCGTCGCACCACAAATTGCCAGGATTGTTCAAAATGCTAGAGTCTCCTGACGTTCTTTTGAACGATAAGTTACTTGCTGTACCCCCGGGCGCGACTAGCGACAGCACACCCGCTGGGATAGCAAAAGAGCGAGGATTTTGTGGTCATTTGACGTTTAACTCTTGTTGTGAGCACCTCAGTGCAAACTATAAAGAGAAAAATATAGCCACAGACGTATTTATGGATAAGTAGATAAACAGGTGAACAGATACGGAACGATCCTCACGATAAAATAAGCTTGGAGAAACCGGCTGGATGCAAATATATGCCTGTCAAAAGGAAATACTACTATTAGCTGGGAATCATGCGTTTCGGCGAGTAAGCATAAGGTCCTTGTTGCCTGATGGTGACCGTTCCGATGTAGCTGTACTATAGAATACGTAAAAGCTCTTTTGAATCCGTGATAGTTAAAAAAAAATGTGCTAGTCATCTACAAATGAACGCTATGGGCAAGACGATAACAAACTTAGCTGCAAACGAGGACAGTAAAGCTTTTACTCAGATCCAATCCAACCCAAGTTGAGGTTCGTCAAAAACCGTGCACACCTTACGGATCGCAAATACAGATGACGATTCGTCGCTAGTTTGTGCGGTGGCTATGTTTATAGCCTGTAAATAAAGTGACTGCTTCTTTTTGCAAGCAACGAAAGGTAGGAAGATATTTGTGAAATAGACGCTAGACGCCCGATAAGAATATTATGCAGTCAGAAAGACAACGAAGATGCCGAAAGCTTTTGGTACATTTTAGATTGGATTATGGAAGTTCAATTATTACTACTTGGAGTCGGAGCATGCAATATATTATATGAAGCATAGAAAGATTGTTTAATCTTTAATCATGCTGGGCTGATTGGAAGGAGATACAAAAAAGCAGCATAACGAGTCGCTCTCTTTCTCGATAAGCATTTATATATTTATAAGGGCTGAATACATTACATACATTTCTCTATGACTCCAACAGATAAGGTATTCTGTTTATCCGTCCCTAAATTTGAGTCTTGTTTAGAAGAGTGGCTATTTTCTCGTTATTCTTACAATCGAGCTAACACATAACTTGCGACTATTCAGAATGAGCCAATTAACTTAATTTACAAATTCAACCATTCTATCGTCGTGCCCCAAATTCGAAATTAAGGATAACATGAAAACGGTTACGTCTTTCAGTATAACTAGAGAGTGTACAGTTAAATTTCGTTGAACGTAAAGTGAACTGGAGATACTTCAATGAGATATGTAAAAAGACGGGGAGTCCTTTTTTTTCTCGAACGCATCGACTGTTATGTCAACGATCACAGAAGGCTTTCAGTCGAAAAAGCACACCTGGACATATAGGAGTTCAGCATCAGATTTGCTCATTGGCTGAGGGTATATGAAGACTCTAGTGACTATTTATGGATTACTTTTGTTGTACCGTTCTTCATTTGCATAACGTTTCAAGACTATTTGTTAGCTTTTTGTTTCTATTTCAGCTCAACCTCCCTAAATGACCTTTAGAAATAATACTGTTTGGCCTATTCATTTGGTGCTCCTCGCACGCGCTTAGGTCGATGATTTCAGAGAGACTTTTCAGAACACGTTCTATAGCATGTATGCTAACTGGCGGAGATTAACAAAATATTAATCCTATGGATGCGTAGAAAGCATCAAGCCACAGCTGAAAAGCTTCTTGACAGATCTGCTAATAGTAGGCAACGAGAAGCCTTTCTACAATTGAGCATTTTCAAAGCAATATTTTTCAGCAACAATTTTGGTGTCGACCAGCCTTTCGACTCGAGTACCTATATGACCGCAGCAAATTACTGCGCGATCCTCTGACAGGTCAATATATACTGCAGCAACACGAAAATACCTATTTCCTTGCCCGTTAAACCTATTAGCGCGGCTGGAATTTATCTTCTCTGAAGAAAAGAGGCTTTTTCTGTTAGATAGTATGTCGTGCATGTTGCACATGTGCCACCTTCACCTCGGAGCTGAATAAAAAAACAAACAGACACTCAGTCTTCGACAGAGTCATTTTTCGATCAGTGAACACGCAGGCCCAGCTTTCAGTCAACAGACTTTTCGACGCCCTAGTGAATACGTTAGACTTTGTTTAGCCACCATGATGCTTGTATCTATCTATCTATCTATCTATACAGACAAACCACCCAGCATAGCGGAAAATGCTGCAAAGTGGCGAAGATCGACGAATCGAACGTCTCATTTGCTTTTAGTCGACGGCAATAAGAAAGGCTTTTTCTTAACGGGAGCTATCTTCTAAGCGATTTAAATGCGTACTGGGTTGGCAAGGCGACGATCGACACAGCTGGCTTGAGGGACTTTGCGCATTCAAGCCTACGACCGTTGCTATTTGAAACAAGAATTAGACGCTTGGCCAGTTAAGTAACAGCAAATGCCTTGGCTAGTCTACACGAAACTACAAACGGTATTTTATGCTGTATCGGGTAGTCCACAGAACGGGGTTTGCTGCTCTAGGTAAAGGCGTTATTGACCAAACGAATGCGGGCAGACGCGCGACCCATGAAAACTTTTGAAAGTAGTACATTATAGATCGGTGCATACTAAGTCACACTCTAAGACGCTTCCTGTTAATGTAGAATTGTGTGACGGGAAATATTTTAGCTGGTACTATTGCGTTAGCCTGGAACAGCTAAAGAAGAATCGGAAAAACCTTGTTACTTGGTCTTTTTTTTTTCTAGACAGCGCTACCTGTTCTGCGATCAAAAAATGTGCAGATTCCGAATTGTTACTTAGTTTACCCAAGAGGTTTACGCAAAGATGACTCGGTAGAGAGAACTCTGTCATCCGTAGGCAGCGAATGCCCTGTAAGAGGTCAAACCGAAGCTAGAACGAGGTTGGTCATGGACAAGCTTTTGCCACCAGATATATAGCATCATTACATTCTTTCCGAAGCGAGCTTGCGACTGTCTCTTTTTAGAAACATAATCGAAGAAAGGACGCGTCGACCGAGGACTGGCCTCAAGCTGACTTACCGGATCGGTTATATGTTGCTAATTGACAACTCAAAGTGCCGAGGCCTCCTTTTCTCTATACTGAAATCTCCTGCCGGGCCCTATTTTCAGTGCGTAGATGCGTGAAAGTGACCGTTGCCGACTGTTGATAGCAGTACTCGGAAAGTCTTCGTACAAGCAGCATGTGGTTATACCGTCGTACAACTTCGGCTGATGGGTCGACAGCGTCACTCGCAAATCTGCACGATACCAGTTCATGCGGGATCTAATGGATAGAAAGCAGAATAGAAAATGAGTTAAGCATACAAGCGCGTAAGGCTGAACTCATCTAGCTGATAGCATTTTTCAGTTGGCTGTTCTTACTCCTATACTCTAGTTTAATGTGATTCTCCAAAGTTAACAGTGTAGCTATGAGATAAGCAACGCGTTAGTTAAGTTCTGTTCTACTACCTGAGTGGGGCTCTGATAATAGAAAACGAGTGATGACAAATCGTTTAAGAAGGAACAAGCTAGTCCTCTATCTGGGTTTTCAGTATTACTGGTGAATATCTCAGCCTGTTGTTGAAGACCCAAATCATTTGGGGACTAGCGTTGCAGCAAACAGGTATAACAAAAGGATGCTGTATGACAAAGCTATTAATATTAGCTATTTCGTTGTCGTTTACCTTTACGGCGTTTCAGGCTCATGGACGATATTTATGCGTGTTATGTTCCGCTACCTGTACGAGAATGGAGTAAGGCCGGACCTATTACTTGAGACAATTGGCGAGATTCCCTTGCTTACTGGAATGAGAGAATGGCTGCAGGTAGGTTATTTTGCCTTTTCTCAAGGCTTCCGTCTCACTTCATAAACCTTATGCACAATTTGGTTCCTGCAGGGAAAGCATCTGCCATCGGCGTCACTGCAAACAGTTGGTTTCTGACGATGTCCATTTTGACGGTAAACAGCTTGATCAGTACGCTCGATATTAGGGTCCGACAAACTGGCGCAGACACATAATGTAAATATGCTATAGTTATCCATTATCTTTTACTAACTTCGATTGCAATGTGCCCGTGACAGAGGAATTATTCTAATCTATAGAATAGGTTCAAGCACAGTCTGATTACGCCGCGCGGTCCGACCACTTGTTGCGGTTGTTACCCTACCGCTTTTGGTCATGTTGAAGCCTATACACTCTACTGATGTGTCGCTTATTTTATCTAGTTTCGAACCAGAGCGATTACACTGATTATTTAATTGAATCTTTGGATTAATACACGTATGCGCTTGACGAAGCAATGGGTTACGCACTATCGAGATGCTTATCGGTATCTGATAAGCCGAATGAATAAGGACATAATGTTATAATTCCACGACAGTTACTCAACTGAGTTAAACTGACGACAGGTATTTGTCTTTCACCTAGTCATGTTGTATCTGAATAATACTATTATGCAGCTCTAGATAATTACGTTATTACTGAAAGGGTACAGCTGTGACCACTTCTAGACACTAAAAGTATTTAACTGATTGATTAATTTTAACTAAATATTATTATCTATCAAAGTTAATTAAAAATGTGTTTAGCTATCATGACACTCGCTCAGGTCTGGGGCGATCGTACGCTTCTTGTAAGGATCAACTTTCCGAATCGGCCAATAACTTCCACAGTAATAGCAAATGTCACTTGAAAAGCCCAGTTCTAATGCCCCTGCTAGCCATTGAAATGATAAACGCATACAAAAAGCTAACGACACTGATTGAATCTGGCAGAACTCGACCCTTAGTGTCATCACCGGACGCTCACCAACCGTGCCTCCTTCGTTTTTCAATCTTTGGCCGAATATTAAGAATGCGTATTGCAACTTATGGACTTAATGTTGCGACACGTTTATGTCATTACGGGCATAGCTTAGTAAACATTTGTATAACGTAGATTTTCTTGTATCAGTAACGGTAGCGAAACTATTCTTCAAAGAGCCATTTGGGTCCAGCCATAACTACTTCTCAGACAACACCACCGCCTTCGAACTCTCCCCTCTGACACTTAACTGTAGTGCCATAGAGTGGATCGTATTTTTTTTTTACCAGTCCTGTAGTTTGCAATAAGCTGAATATTTCCACGAAAAAATTCAATCGAACGCTGCTCTTTTATAAACAAGAAAATAATTGAAAACATTCAATCAGCAGTTAACGGCATTAGACATGGAGAAGCGGACATTGATGCTTTAAACGTGTTCCTGAGTTTGACGTCTGGTATCTTGATTCATATGTATGGCAAATTGGCTTCCGAAACATTTTGATGCTATTCACTTCTATTCAAAGTAAAAAATTCCTAAGGGTCCAGACCCTTCTTTCGTTGGACAGCATCTTGAGATTATTTTTTTGATTGACGAACAGTGTCCTATTTGTTCACGCTCTCAGTAGGATCCCATTCAACTACAGGCTGAAAGCAGCGGCGAGTACTTGGGCGGCCTCTTCGCCGAGGTCGATTTCGTTTGCTGATACTACATTGAATTGTTTCAGTTCTTTTATTGGTTTACTTTTTTTCGCTTCACGTTATACAGAAACCTTTCAATACCGACTAGGGACTGTCTCATAGGTATAACGGGAAGTCTTAATCCGATGTGTCGATAGCCGGACTAGGATCATTATGCTAAAACCTCAAAACCTTATATGCTTTAGATAGGGCAAAACGCATGTCTGTATACACGCCACGATTAAGAAGCTGTCAACTGACTCCCTAGGCGGCTATTTTTTCTAAAAGCTAAACTGCTATTGTCCGATAAAATAATAACTATTATTACTACTAGTGTGCTTATCTATTTATTAGGTCGTCTGATGTGAAACGTGGCAAATACCGTCGATAAAGGACGACATTAAAAAGATGGGGCAGTCCTTGGTTTCCATTCGAGGCGGGTTTGTCCTTTTCGAAAAGGACAGATCTCAGACCGTTCGCTATCAGGTTGTCATTCCGACGTTAGCGGCGAAAGAGTTGTGGTAAACTATCAAAACTCAAGCAATTCGAGACGTTTACGAATGTGTGGGTTCCATCCCAGGCGGTAAAGGTGGCTCACTAAGTGGGGAGTTTTACGAAATATCGACTTGAATATCGAACTCGCTTAGTATATATTTATCGAATATATAAACTTTGTATTCAGTGAAGATTTTGCGATCAAAAACAGCATGAGCCGGAAATTAAACATTTCGGGAAGGTAACCTTAGGCTTGAAATAGATTCTTGCAACAGACTTTCCATAAAGGCGAATAGCAAATAATATAGAGAACTATGGTCGAAGCCGACCTAACTCAACACGGGCGAATGTTACCGCTGAGTTGCTGAATACGATAATACTTTTCTACCTTGGCTTAATTAACTACCGATTCTACAAATGGGTGGTATTTGATTTGAACAAAAATAAGAAACGGAAACGTAAAGACGCCGACTCCTTGTTACGTCACAACAATAATCCATTCTTGCATTAAATGAAAAGGGATACCCTGTGATAATCGCGGGCACCACTCCATTCGTTACTGGATACTTTCTGCAGTTTAATGAGTCATGTTTATTTGTTTACGTCTGAAGTGTACTGTCAAATACTACAGGAAGTGATTAAACATTTGTTCACTGGGTCGCCAGGACTGGATAGAAGTAAACCGCCCTTTCTTTCCCCAACCATACTCGACTTCGGATCGCAAGGATCACGCTGGCAGAGATTCACGAGTTTCAGTTGAAGGCTTTTTGTTATACGCCAGGCATTACCCCGAATTATTACCCCGGCAACTTTCAAACAAAATTCTTCAAATCTCAACATGACGTCGAAATTTTTTTTTACTAGACTTCGTAGACTTTCGGGGCCCAGACTTCAACAGGAGCGAAACAGAAGTTTCCATCCAAACAGCATCAAATCATAAATAATGATCACATATAACCCGATGGAAAATAAAGGAACTGAACCTGCAAAAACCTTGAAAGGTTAAGAGTTCACGATGTCACGTTTCATTCTGAACAAACTAATCTCTTCGAAGTTGATGGTATGTCTATGCATCAAGTGTGAGCAAATAGCTTTACGTTGACAGGGCATGTTTTCTGCCGTTGGACCTCCAGGTTATACCGGCTGAGGCTGTTCCCTCGACAGCCAAAGGGGTGCAACATAAAGCCAAACGTAAATATGAAAACAAGTTATGTATGTAAATACGAAGCGTTAGGAAGTTTTCACGGTGTAATTATTGCTTACGCTACTCTAGTATTTCGTGGTTAGCATACGGTTCTAAATGTTGTGTAATGGACCGACTGCCGGTTAATTTACGGCAAGAGCGGTTCGGGCTACAACGTCAGTGGGTCGCAAACGTAATGTAGGCTTGTAAACAGCCGCTGGCCAGCAGTTGTTGTCTGATTCAAAATTGTAATCGCCAAAATAATAGTTATTATATTAATGGGGCTCATCCACACCCTTCGTTGTATTGAATGTCCGAAGTGGTTTGAAGTAGAAATTGTTGATTAGCAAAATTACACTAACAACGAACCGATGGATTCGAACGAGATTACCCGATTTCTCCAACTCACCGGCTGATTCCAGGTAGGAATAATTATCCATTGGCCTTGTCCGTCCATCATAGCATTACGCCCGGCAAATTAGCCCCACGGTCTCGTCATACGTCACCTAATAAATACACGAGATAGAAAAAGTGAAAGGAGTGGCTTTTTAACTAAACGTCAAGGCATAAAAGTGAGGTCGTTATACATAGCTACGTAGGAGAGATCCATAGACATCGAGATGAAAAACAACTAGGATGTGTGCAGAAACGGCGCTCAATACAATGTTATTATGGCGGTTCAACGTCATTTCACTTGAGTTCATTTCATAGAGACTCAGTAGAGACAAAGAGAAGTTTGGCGGGTAAAGCTCGGAAGAACGCGTCTTGCCCGCTTTCACGTTTTCGTTGTCTGTGGTCATTGTAGCCGCCAGCTGTGTGATTCGCGGGGCTGTACGTTGTTTGTGCGTGGCCCGCTATGGGAGCAAACGAAACTTGTTTACTTCGAAGCAGCTTCTGGCCGGTTAACCAGACGGTAGTACGAGAATGACAAATATACAGAATTAATCAGCGGATGTTAAACCGCCGAAAAGACGGGCAAAAGTGAGCATACAGCCATGTGTTTCGTATCGGCGCAAAAGAAGTGTGGAGGAAATGGATCGCCAATACTACAACTGCTACTGCCACAACCACTACTTGTACGACTGGAGGTTCTGCTGTTGGTGATATAGTGTATATATTGCCGTCCGTAGTATCATGGTAGCAGTACTCTTGAGGACCTATGACGGCAACCGTCAAAATTCATCCGTAAGTTGGTTCGGCATAAAGCTCTATCGCTGTTTTCGTTTTTAGATATGCCGCTTTTTCTAGCAGGAGATGCAGCTGATGAACGAAGTACAATATTTTTTTCAGACAAGAGAAATCAATGAGCCTGTTTTTGATTGCAAGCGCTTGGTGGTGAGACCTTTTCCAGGCACACGCAAATTGAACATACTTAATATATATCTACATGTATATATATATATATATATATATATATATATAAATTTGTTTTTTAGAGGAATCTAATGAATTCTTGTATATATATGCCTTTCTAATGAGCAAATGAGATAAGTGCAGAATTTATCCAACAAGCGAAGTCCTCGTCGAGCTACTTGCCAAAAGTCTATATCGGGGTCCGTATGTCGTTCAGTTATAAATTGAATCTGTCTAAGGTGGATATTACGAATACTTTACGATTCGCCACATTGGAAATAATGTCTAAATGTATACTTTTTATGACCTTGAGAATCCAAACTGTCGGATTGCTTACCACTTTGTAAACACAAAAGTCGAGCCCGTATGTTACTGTCATAAGCATCCACTTCAAGAAACATGCGTAGTCTTCTTTACAGGCATATATAACTAGGCGTTAATGGCCCTCATACGTATTTTTCCTCGACACATAGCCAGAACTAGCACATATTATGGCGAAGAAAAGTCACCGTCACATCAAGTACTTCAAGCCAGAATAGAACAGAACCATATGTTCTGATAGGGGCTAAGCCACAGAACCAAAGTATAGGATATTCTAGCTCTCTAATATTCTTACCTTTTCACTACTTGGATTTAATACCGTGGATAGAGCGAAAGTAAGTAATAATTGCCCTAAGTTCCTCACTTTCTGTGGATACCTACTAGATCAAAAATCGTCGTAGGAAGGCAGATGAGCTCAGAGATCGGAGGAGTTTCGTACGCTTGTGCAGAACATTAGTGAGGTAGGCCCTAATATCGCCAAAAAAGCAGGTGCAACAACAGTTTCAAAAAGGGACCTATAGCTTCTAGAGTTTGGTGGACCGCAGAAGCGGTTGTCGCTATTAGACCTTGATATACGTCGTGGATTTTTGCCGCTATCGAATTTTTAATGAACTAAAGCTGATTTCATGAATTCGAAGCTTTCTAATCACGGTATTTTTTCCGTGGAGATGATGTAGCCACACCGTCGAACAATAACGTTATTGTCGGTGGCTGTAAACAGACATGGACCAGATTACCTGTGCTTCTATTAGATTCACTCGGGTAGCGTACATTAGGGCAATTTAAGTCTACAAAAGTGCCCTGTGTTGCAAAGAATATAGTCCTGTGAAGACACAAGTGAAGTTAGCACAGTGCCAGACTATATAATATAATTCGTTCGGCTTATACCGAATAAAATGGCAATACATTTGTTCACGCTGTACCATTTACGCTAACATTCGCCAAGAAACTATCCATTTGTCAACCTTATCAGAGTGTCATACTACGCTCAAATCCAAACTTTACCTATCTAATAGCCTCAAACACTGGATCATCAGTGCAGTTGAGTCAATAGAATGCAATGAAAATGACCAGCATAACAGTAGGAATCATTTTTATAAGCTGTCAGGACAATCGTGCTCGACTTCGCCAGCGCGTCAGTTTGTCTGCTCAAGACTCAACTTGTGCTGACCCGTGATATGCAGAGCAGACAGCGGAATATCTAAAGTTTGGATCATTTCAACTAAAAGGACGCAAATTTATCGTCCCTAAAGACGAGCGATTGCCTATCTTCTTCCTGGATTGTATAGGACAATTTATGTTTGCGGTTTTCGTCTGCTAATGCACGCTGACGTGCTGAGGACAGACTTGTACAGTGGTCCAGATGACAGTCCGAAGCTGGAACAGTGGGAAAAGTGTAGACCGTTCTGGGTACTAAGAAACATAAAATGATAAGTATCAGTCCGTGACTATTTTTTGTCGTCAAATTAAAACACGTTATTTCATGTATTGTACGGCTCTATGAAACAGAAACGTAATTAAGCAAAACGATAGATAAATTTAAGCATATTCATACATAGACATCAGGCTCGAGCTGTCCATGGATTGCCCCGTGTTAACAGTGAGTATTACCTATATTTCTTATTGCAAAACGAGCTAGTCAGGTAGACTACATATTGATGGATAATTCGAAACAGCTAATTATTTTTAGTGCGTGTGAGTGTGGTACGCTTTCCGTAAAATGTTTTCAATTTCAGCATACAGACCCGTACAGGTCCGCCGATGAGAGCCGACGACGTTTTTTTTTTTTATCGTGCGTTCTAACGGTGGAAATTTTGGCACGATTTGCGTGATAGCTTGTACCTTGTTTAATAGGCACGCTCAATTTTTGTTGTGTTTACCTTGCGCAACGTTTGGCCTTCTCAGATATGTAATGATCGCCTTACCGCGAAAAAAACCCGCTCTGTAACAATTTCCATATTTCTTGCGTTGTCAGGTGCGGATAGAGGATCATATGATACGATACGTTCTACTATATGCTGACAATTAATGTTTCGGTAACGAAGCCCATCATCCGTCATAGCCTTTGTCGAATTATTACCGTTGTGTAAATAAGAGCAAAAGACAGTGGGCTTTTGGGGGCTACACTGCGCCATCAATAGGATCGACAAGCAGTGGCAGACGGACCTTTCGGCGATAAGAATTCCCCACCATTCTATACTATAACAAGGTGTTTTAATGAAAAACGATAACCTATTGGTCAAATGCTAAACAAGGGACCAGTCTGTTATATGAACCTAAGAGGCAACTCTAGGATGACGTGTATCAATATCTAACGCACATACTAGCTATCTCGCCAAGGCTGCACAAGTGACACTTGGACGGTTTGGCCTAATTCGATTCGCATTAACACATACATAGTTTATCAAGGTCTGTGTATTTTCAATAATATAAACAGCTGGCAGTTTCTATTATACCAAACTATCTCAAATATGGATACGTTCTTTGGAGCGGTGTGTATGCACCTGTAATACACGTTACAAATCTGTATTGGCATCGTTGTGAAGGGACAGTAAATGTTCAAGGTCACGTCAGTCTTAAAGCCACGTCCCAATGAACATTTACGTGCAACAGGGACATGTTGTTCTTCACTGGTAGACATTGGTTTTCGCTAGAAGAATATTCTATCGTGTATTTTTACCGTATCAGCTGATTAAATTGCTTTCGGTTTAGTCAACGAATGGCACCGATTGTTATTTGTGTCCGACTTCGCCTGTACGAAGCTAGCAGTCGTATATAGTTTCTTTTAAATTTTCCGCGCCGAATCATTCTATATGAATTTGAAAATAACAGCGTATGTCATGTTTAATATGATTTTGTTGAGAGATATCAACCTTCGCTTCCGTATCGCATTTGACGCTAACGTTTTTACGTTGCAGACACTAAATGAATATGGCTACTTCGAAGTCGCCATTATTTCGGACGCTAATACAGTGTTTATCGAACACATCTTGTACCGGCAAGGCGTTCGGCACCTGGTACATGAAGTGTTTTCTAACTACGCACAGTTTGACGGTAACGGCTGTCTTACGATTCAGGAGTTTCATCGAAACGACTGGTGCAAAATGTGCCCCCAAAATCTCTGCAAGAGCAAAGTTGTCGCGGACTACATTGATCGAAGAAAAAAACAGGGCGTCAATTTGAATCGGTGAGTTTAAAAAACTTTTGTATGGAAACCCAACAAAGTCCCAGGAGTGCATCGAAGCTAACTATCTACAATTGATAAGTTCTCTAAATTCAAGACTCACATCGACATGCTTCCAACGGTAAATATACAGCCTCAATATTCTACTATCAGCTGGCCGAACTACGTAGCAGCGCAAGAAAATTTTACGAAACAACAGGCGTAAACAGTAAATAGCGTAAATCTGCTAGTCCGTATCTGATACAAACTTGCATGCAATACTACTTCCTGTAAGTTTCATTGATCGGTAGTTTTTATCTTTAAATCGGTTTAAAAACGGAAAAGCAACTACTCATTGTTATGACACGTCTCCGAACTGCTCGTAGAGCTACTGTAGATAATAAACATTTTGCAGTTACTGCCGCTGTAGATTACGCTTATATTCGTTCATTCATTCATTCATTCATATGTACTACTGATCGCCCGATAAGGCTTGTTTGCCGTTCCGGAAGTTCCTATCAGAAAGCAGCGCGAAAATATTTTTTCTCTACTATCTTTTTCTTTATTATTATTATTATTACTGTTATAATCCTCATATTTTTTAATAGTTATTGTTTTTGTCAGCTTGTCATGTTGCGAAAGCTTCAACTCTCTCGACATAGCCCTCGTATTCTAAATACTACCATACCATGAAAAAGAAAGTGCTCGAGCGATACCGTAATACAAATTATTGTCCTCGTTAATACCAATACAAGCTGTATCATCGGACAGTGAGGTACTAGAGCAATGCCATTTTAGGACAACTCTTTTTTTTTGTTTCGAATTTGGCTTTTCTACGCCAAAGTAAAAATTCTATTTTTTTTTTTATTTTAGATTTTTCTGATCGCCTTAATACATTTATTGTAATTATTTTGGCTACGATATTAGATTGAATTCTCTGAATATAAATTAATCAACTTGTTTCTCTAACGGTATCTCTAAGAAAAACGCAAGGGCTTGTCTAATACTCAAAAGTGTTCAAAATTGTGCTCTGCATTCGTTCACAGAGACCGTAGTCTTTCCTACGTTTTTAAATACTCTGTATTTTAATAGCAATTTAGGTGCCTAACAATCAACTCAGCAATTTCAATTTGGCCCAATTAATCGGCACCTAAGTAGACCACATAGGTGTACAGGCGACGCGTACGTACCAGGTACCGTGAAACGGCGAAGCCCGAATGTATTACGGCAGTGTAGAAGTGGCGCTCTCGCTTGTCAGATTTCTTATTATATTCGACGGCAGAGAAAGGCAGCTTTCAGCTTCGGCGGAAACAGTTACGATGGTCACGACTGTAGTAGCGAGTACTCCAACTAAGTCAGACTGTTGATTTTCTTAATGTCCGTATTTGTATCAGTTGTATTGAGGGAGAGATGCAAAGGTGCTTGCCAGGGGCAATAGTAGACGACAATCAAAAACATTCGCTACAATTTACCGGGAAGTGTGACTACTTTTTTGCATCCGTTCATAAATTAATAAAAACTCGCCTCTCAGCTAACGCAGTCTCAGTCGTGTATATATATATATATATATATATATATAGCGAATAATTTTTATAAATGTAAGCTTTCGAAGCGATTTCACACAACGAAAAGCTTCAATGCTCAGTTGTTACAAGTGGTGTTATTACTAATAGAAGATGTCATTATAAAAGCAACCTCGTAAAGCGTTATTATAAGAAGGACCATGTTGGCTCTGCTGGCATTAGAGGTGTGTCAGAGATCAACAGGACTTGATTTAGGTTGTTCAGGACACTGTATTGGGGTCGTCTTCCTCATAGCAAACCGGCCGATGAGTGAAAAGCAGACACTAAGACTACGCCGCATGTCCTTTTTCTTAATAGATTCAAAATTACGATGGACGGGATTTGATGATCGATTTCCAAGCCTCTTTTGCTAAGAGCCATAAAATTCCCCCTCGGTTCACATAAGAATTCGTAATTTTTCGAAAGAACAAAGATAGAAGTCATATTTTCCTTTTCTTTTTTTTACAAGCGACTCACATTTTCTGTTGTCGTATCATCTTCAGCCTCGTATTTAAGGCATTATAGGTTTAGCGTAGGTTCCGTATTTGATTCGAAGTGCCCACTAGGTCCCACTAAAAGAAAACATGTGGACATGATGAATGGTCATTTGTTTGCTATAGTTGTATTTGCGTTTTCGAAGAATCGATAGATTTGTTTATGGTGAACTTCCAACTATTTCGGTACTTTCAAGTTCAAATAAGTTCATGTATTTCTTTTAAATTTAACGTATTTCCGCGTAGGCTACAGAAGATTTGATTAATATTGCCAACAGTTCCTCAGGACCGTGTCGAGTCTTCGATAGAGGAGCACACAGACGGATGAACTGTCCGAAATTTCTTTAATATTACAGTTATTTAGTTTCTAATTACGATTTAATTTTTGTAAGTTTTTAGTAAAATTTGTGATTTATTATTCAAGCATCAATTCAACGAATGTGGCAAAAAAAGAGTAGCGATACGAGCTTGTCCTTTCTTTCTCTGACGTTAGTGAATATATGAAATAGTTTGCTGGTGCGTAACAAGATGCGAACCCCATCCATACCGAAATCAACTAATCTGATTGCTGAGAAGCTTTGCTAACTACATACTGTAGACTGCTTCCATAACGTGTTACAAGCTTCTATCCGCACACAGTTGCTTTTTAGTTCTAAAATGAATTCAAGCTAAAAGATAAAATTGAAAATCCTCAAACAAATTGCCCCATTCAAACAATGAATTCAGTCTACATCTGCAGTGCGGGGCGAAAAGGAAACTTCATCTAATTCATAGGGGGTTTACGGATGAAATTTCCGTTGGTTCTTCATTACAGTTGCTGTTGTCGCTGCACTGTTATAGTTGTCTATTTCGACGATGAACCGACTCAATAGGTCTCCGTGAGTGCTTGTTTTGCGCCAAGCTCGGCCTGATCACGAAAAGTGTCGACGAGTATATCTTCAACCCTGTCTTCTTCTACCACCCTAATTATTATAGTCGCCTGTTACTATGTTCCAGCATTCTGTAGCTTTCCTTGCCCGTTGGTTTTCTCTGCCTGTTTACCGGGCATCTGTCAGTTCGCTGTAGGTTAATAATTGAAGTCGGGCTAGCGATATCATGCGCTCTGTTCAATAGGCCTGACGTGGACACGGACCCCTGTTCAGTGCCCGGGGATGGCGGCGGCAGTTACAACAAAGCATTTGACCACCTATTTATCCATCGTAAGAGGTTGATTTGACGGTAGAATATGAAGTAGTCTAATTGCGTCGGCCCGTGTATGCGTGCACTACGGGAAAATGCATAAAAAGGCTAAAGACTGCTTTGTGCACTGATACCGTGGCTGCGTATTGGCGTGCATGTATCTCGTGCTTCTTATTGTCGTCTCAATATTGCTTCGTTAGCTATATTTGTTCCGATCGTTTGATAATGACAACAATCGACAAAAGTATGGATACAGAGCATGGGACGTATAGCGTCCATGTGCGCTGAACTATCGGCCGTACATCGATTGCTCTCATCAGTGATATAGGTGCCGACACGTTATTGAAACATTCATGTCATAGATTACTTAGACAATAGTTAAATTAAATAATTTATGAAGGAACGGTAGAACTTACAAGAAATGAAAATGTAGGAGTCCGCTTTTAGGTGGAGTAATCAGAAAACGCACCACAGCGTATTTATTATTTGTTTTATCAAAATATATTTTCAGTACTTTGGATTACATCACAGAATTTCAGTTTACTGATAAGTATTTAGGAATATATTGTAAAATTTTGGCGTGATGTAGGTTAATCTTTTTGCTGATACACGGTATGGTAGAAAGGAGCCGCTTATCTATTCTGGTGTGCAATTAAAGGATGCTTGAAATAAACCACGGATAAGTAATGACAATATGGCACTAAATCCATCGTTTCACACAGGCGGGTCGCTTTCGCTAAAAAGCAGGTTCAGATACCAATTCAATTAACATTACAATAGTTAAATTTCGTTGGTAAAGGCCGAAGTAACTCGCCCTTCTGCATGAACCAAAAGCTAATCCAATACGTTTTTCCTCTGAACTTGTCGTCAGCTGAGTGTCAAGTGCCAAGCTGTAACAGGCTATTGGGATAGGGATTTGTCAGCGAAGGTTAGGTCGGGACCTAGTCAACGATAGAGCGACCAAGTTTGAGGAAGATATATGGCCCTAAGTCTGGCCTAGTTTGATTTAATCTACTACTAACGGCACTGCTTGCCTTTGAGTGACCCACATTGGATACCCAATGCGCCTGCATAATAAAAGTGGGGTTATATCTGTCAACCAAAACCGACGTGGAGTTCATCGGAGAGGTTTTCCTTCCAACTATAGTTTACGACTGCTAACTTCTGTTTAGATCTCAGCCATAACTTTCCCTTTGCTGTTGCTCGGTATCTCATCATCACTTGACATAGAGAGAAATCTAACTTGTTTAATGTTTGATTTATATGCGCAAAAAAGGGGTGTGCAACTGAAAATACCATATGGATCGATGGAAAGCGATGCTTTCGTTATTCTATTCCACATATAATGGTAGGAAGTTATTGTTATTATAGAACTAAAGTTAATTTAGTTTTCACTCGTGTGTTGAACAGTAGTTGCTTGGCTCTCACACGCATTACGTTTTTGTTGCCCTGACCTGCGCTGATGTGGTTTGGACACCGATTATCAGAATGCGGAGAGCCGTTAAACGATAGATAAGCTTTAGCTTCCATCTTTGTACCAATGCGGTAATAAAGAACCATGCAGAGTTGGCTTGCCGTGCGCGCTGTTATCAATATAAAAAGAGACTATTTGTTAGTTAAGATTAGATACTTGAACAAGCCAGTCAGATATACACATAGGATTGAAGTTTGGCTTAAGCCACTTATAACTCAAGCATTTAGGCCAATCTTGTAACTTACAATTTTTTAGAAAGTAAGTTTCGACTTGCCTGAAATTTTTGTTGATTTCAGTATGAAATTGACTTTTACTGTGTGCTGTTGAGATGGTTACAGTGTCTATTAACTGCTTTTGTTGCTCACTTTGCATTAAATTTTCTACAGGATAGTGTACATTGGGGATGGAAATAACGATTATTGCCCAGCGGCTAACTGTAAGCGAGGAGATCTTGTCCTAGCGCGTAAAGGCTTTGCTCTCGACCGACGGATTTGCAAGCGGCCTATAAATGCCAGGAGTGTAACCTGGGAGAATGGCCTAGACATTCTTAAAAGCATCACCCAACACTTCGGCGACCAGTCGGGAGGTGCAACATCAACGGGAACCGTGTCACCTTCCGATAATTGATGTGGCCGGCTTCAGCCCAATTTGAGGCAGATTATAACGTACAGGCCATTTTATCCAGTATATTCGCAGGAGGCATCAAGATTAAGTTAACGACAAACTGCTGTTGAGCAGAAATGCAAAAGCACGGTAGCAGGCGTAGCGCTCTATCGGAGCACTTAAAAAAAATTAATAAAAATAGTACTGAAGTGATAAAATTTCGTGATACCAAGTGTTTTTGTCCCTCAGTCGCACAAGTCGGTATAAACTCCAATAAGTTGCACAAGTTTATACTAAGCTATACATGAAACGGGAGAAGAGCAAGCTTTTGTCTCTTACCAGTATATGAGTATTTCCTCATATCCTCTTGTGATGACTATGTTCATTACGACAATGCAGAAGCTGTGCGAGAAAATAATGGAAAAGAGTTTCAGAAGTCTAGGAGTAAATGTATAAGTCATATGCATTGAATGTTAATAGAATAAACAGATATTGATATATTAATTATAGCTGCGTTATGAACGTGATGGTGATTGTGACGAAACTAGTAAGGTGTTGAAACATCGTAGTTAATTATAGCCACACTTTTATGTACCTGTCTCAGAACCACACTGATCCTGTAAGCCTATATCCCCGACTCTTTTACGAGCGCCATAACACGCGCAGGCTAGATTTAATAGGAGAATGATGTGCTTCGGGTAACTTAAAAAACGTCATTTGGAGATTTCTAAGAGTGGAAGAAGAAATGCTTGTGATTGTTGCGTTAGATAGGCAGAAAAGGTTGGCTCTTTTGATAGGACAGTGGGGTGACAACGGGTTACGTACACAAACCGTCTTTCCAATATAGTCTTCTAAAGATAAACCTGTCTTGACCAGGTGGAATATGAAAAACCCTAGGACGGAAAAAGTTAAAGCAAACGCGAGGTTGGTAAACCTTTTTGGTAGATATTTAGTATATCTAAAACCCACATACATACGCAAATAGGCGGCTGTGTGACGTGCTTCTCAACTAGCAGCTTTTTCATTTCATTCATTAGAAGCTGATAGTGGAAGTGTTAATACTAGTAGTCTTTCGTTCTGACATTAGCCAAAGCTTACGCACACACATAGACTCACAAAAGCTTATTGTGCCATTGTCAAACCGTGAGTCGTTCGAGATTAGTTATATATATATATGTTCAACTTTTGAACTATAAAAATATGTTACTAGAGCTAATTGCAGGATACTATTAAATATGTGTGCGTTGACGGTCGACAACTGCTAGAAAAAAGCGGTCCAGAGGAGATTAAAAGTGACTATAAATGTTCTTCACGCTTGTTGTTTGTTGTAGCTAAATGCCTTTCTGTTCGTAAATTGTGCGCAGTGTAAATTTTAGACAAATTAAGCAAAAATGTATTCGTGCTTGATCAAGAAGAATTTCATGTACATGGACGACTCAGTTAGTTAAAGAGCTTAATGTAAAACCTTCAGTTTTTACTAAATGTAATGTGAAAAATTGTGAGGACCTGAAGAATCCAAGCAAACTATTATGACTAAAGAAGAAATTATGCAAATCATTTAACAACGGTTTTATGACTGAATGAGGCGATGTGCTTGACGGTTGGCGATTTCAGTGTCAAACGATTCTTAAAAAAGAATCATCAGAAGCATTAGCTGAACTCTTGCATATTTAAACACGACATCAATTACGAAACAATGTTAAGACCTATCTTGCCTTAGATCAACTATTATTAAAGTTTTTACATACATGCATTGCAGTTAACAACTCGTAAAATGGCTGCAATTCTGTATAACCATTAAATTACGCATGCTATAAGTGAGATATTTACGAAGGTATAGACCTGTATAATAAAGTTAACGAATCATAACAGTATATATATAAACTGTATATGTGGCATATATTAGAAAGACTGAACTAGCGATAGTGAATATAAGAGAAAAGATATGTATTTAAATTACTGAGATTGTAACGGTGGTAGTGATAGTAGCTATGATTGTTCACAATAATAACTATTGCTGGTGTCATTATACTCAAAGTAGCATTAAAAGTATAAAAATAAAAACTACTATATACTGAGATCATGATAAACGTGCTTGTTTCTTTCGTGTATAAAGGGAATGTGTTTGTATATGTTTTCTCCAGATTGAGCGCTTCCAACAAAGGCAATAGATACAGATTTGGCAGATGTCGCCTACAAGCATTAAGTTATTATATTGTACGTCAACAGGTTTTTATTAAACGTTTCTTTGTTGCTAATACGTACTTAACTATTACCGGACAAGCACCGGTAGTCGTTCATACATTTTACTAGAAAAAAAATGCTCATAACTTATATCCCAGTTCCGTAATCTAGTCGTGTTCTGTCGAGAAAAAGTACTGAATGCACACCGCATTTGTATACAGCGCTCATATTCAAACAACGGATCATTTCTGTTTATGGTATAACACTGTCAATGCATCGAAATGGTTGCTTTTATAGATTCTAAGTAGCACTCGTCGTCCACAACAGCAACAACAACCTGTTATCGCTTATTGGTGTTTGGCTGTTCGCTCAGTAGGCCATCATTCAAGTTTGTTTTTTCGAAACTTAGTTTCGAGAGAGCTAGAGACGCCCGTTTTCCGCAATGACCCGTTTTTCGAGCAAACAAATCTATCTGTTATAGTCAGTGCCCTCTTCTTAGCAGTTTAGGGGCATGGTCGAGAGATTTAACTGGGCACACACAAATAAAAGAGACACCTATTTTTTAGTTCGTTAACGACTGATGATTTCTTGCGAAATTGAATGACTTCTGAACAACGCGCCGCTAGCGGACAAAATTTGGCCAGAACTTTCCAGAAATTGTGAATAAAATCTGCTTGTTTTTACTCCAGGAAAAATGCGTTCAGCAAAAAAAAACTTTTTTAGCTTTGAAAATAAACGTCAGTTGTCGAGTTTTCGTTCTTTAAAGGCTACAGCAATGCGAAAATTCATCGAAAACTAGTGAACGCATTAGGCAAGCACACAGGTAGGCACAGGTAGGAAAGCACAGTACCTAAATAAAGCCAACGCTTAAAGAAAAGAGATTGGAACGTTCAAGGAGGAGAGTAGGTGTCAGGCCCGAATGCAAGAACGCACTACCGCAACTGAAGAAACTTTTCACTAAGGCAGTACTTGCGGATCTAAAGATTCTCGACCAAAACTGGCATTGTAACATGCTATAAAATTATAACCCGTACAGAAACTGAGTAAAGAAATAGGACCCCGTGAATCGACCTTACGTTTATTGGAAATGCGTTAATTGATTCCGCGTATGATCTGCAAGACGTTAATCAACAATAACCTGTCTGGAACATACGGTCACCATAGATGAGGAATGGTTTAATTTTCACCGTCACTCGGAAGAGGACCCGGTGAGGAAATGGTGTTCACCTGAAAAGAAATTAAGTTCAGTGGCAGTGTTGAATAGATTCGGGCGAAAGGTGATGATAGTACCTGCAATGGGCATCAGGAAATATCTGCCACTATGAAATAAGTAAAATCGAGTATAAAATAATGAATGTAACTCACTATCTTGAGTTCTTCAAAAGACTATTAGATCGTTGGCATGACAATCGGAAGCATGCAGTCCGTAGATAATGCCAGAGCTCACTTTCATCTACGTGCCTCAATTACTCTTTATATTGAGCACAAAATATCCATGATAGCTTCGACGCGCTTTTTCTCTCGATCCACGTCAGTGTTCTAAAAACAAGCGTATCCTAGGGGAAGTCATAAATAGTGAAATTACATATGACAAAGCTGAGACACGGCTGACCAGAAGATGTCAAAGCGCTAGAGCAAGTGAGTAAAAACGTAGAGGAAAATTTACACGTTTACATCTATCAAATCAGCATCACTTTAGCTGAACTATTTTATTAATTATTCAGTTCAAGGTTTACCGTATTAGTTTGCAACAGCCTAATACTGTTACAGGAAAGGTTTCGATTTTGCACAAAATTCTATTATAGTCTATTTTATTTGGCATCAAAGATAAATACCATATAACTGACGTTCGAATAGCATTTTCTTCAACGTAATAGAAATCTACTAATTTTTCCGTAATTGTACATTTTCTACATAAATTGGTATGCTGCTCTATATTTAAGAGCTCCATTCCGTGTAGCTTGTGGGAATATTTTCCCTATGCTCCGTTTCGTATCTAAATGATTTTCCAATCTGTTTCGTTAGTCATCCGATTAGGCTGATCACAAGCGAGGTATTCAATCGATTAAAGCTTCAATTGTTTACGAAAGAATCAATTCGATTAAAACTTCCAACTTCGAACTGGAGCCAGGTTTTATTGAACGCCATCAACATTTCAATACAGTTCGAAGTCGTTTCTCGTGCAAAAGGTTTGGTACGATATTATGATGTATTTTTGCGGTTATTTCCTTTTTGCTCCTCTCGAAATTAGTTGGAAATCGTTTACTGACAGTCTGAATTGACTCGTAGGAACGTTACATCTTATCATTATATCTAAACTAGAAGAAAAAACTACTCGTTGAGAGCTCTCAGTCATATTTATCCATTTCTACGTACAAGAGGCTTAGGATCTAGCCCCTTCGGTGTGCCCAGTGCTTATGATAAGGGAACCCTAAATGCGTCATATACCATTTCGTGTATATATTTTCTATGTTCACTAAAATGGTTCGGGGCCTACACAAAAAAAAGCCTAAGTTGAAAAAAAATTGTATTTATCGCTCTTGGATATCGTTTGGGTGTTCAGCGAAAGCGCTGCGTGAAGACGCTAATTTTTTTGGTTCAAGATCAAAGGGCTTGGTGCCGATAAAGACTTCGCCTTAATATTGGTATTTCAAATAAAGAAAGAAGTCGAAGGCTGTCAAGCTGAGTCAAAGTTTTGGGTTAGAAACAAAATTATTAGGGCCTGTATTAAGGCACAACAAGTTTTGTTTTTTTACTATAAACGAAATAATGCTTGCCACCAACGTTATTATAAATTCGTTGCGTAATGATAAGATTACTGATTCTTTCTACTGCCGTTTTCTATGAGATTTAGTGTAGATTTTTTGACGACAAAAGCTGATAAAAGAATAAATTGGTGGCACTTGAAAAAAAAGAATTCATTTCAATTGTAGTATACAAAACCGCTGAAATTTCTATTTTGCAATGACGCCTACTCAACAGCAGCTTCACTAAAGAACCTTAGAAGTGATCGAAGACGTTCTATCGCAACTTCATATGTTATTAAGGTACCGCATGTAAGGACATTGACCTCCCGCACTTAATACATATGTGTTTTATAAATACTGTAGAATTTCCATCTTAACTATATGTATATATATATATATATATATATATATATGAAATAGTTGTAATATAATGGACGAAACAATGACAATTTAAGATGACGACTTCTTACTTAAAGCCAGTATTCCGTTAGGGATAGCCACAAAGGCACGATGTGCCATAAATTCCACTGTAATATCAAAGCGGGTGAAAAAGTTCACCTCAATTATAAAAAAACTATCGGCCTGTTGTCCACAACCACTGCTCTAGAATTAGGTAATCCCTTTTGCAGCCCTTCCGTATTTTGTCGGAGCATAGGGCTGTAAATCAGCCTAGAACAAGAATTCATATTTACAGTAGAACTTTCTCAACAAAGAAGTGACATTTATTTGTCTCGTGGGATATTCACAGAGAAAGCAACGGCCACTGCAAAGGCTGGCCAAATGAGCTAAAGCAAATACATTAAAAGCTGGTGTCTCACCAATTTTCTTAATTATTCGCTACCTTTCCCCTTTTGTTTGTATCGCCAATTATTTTCTAAAAAAAGCAAGTGACGAAGTGCTCTCTGCAATTTGTCCATCGACTCTATCTGGTGGACTAAAAAAGATCATACACTGTAACTAGATAAATCCAGTCGATAAATAGACTCTTATTAACCAAATGGCATTATGAATGCTTATTAGAAAATCGAAAAGTATAAAAGCTTTATATATCGACAACGTTATGTTACGAAGTTAGTTATAAATTATGAATGATTCATTCATGTTTTATTCGCATCTGTATTGAGGATACAGCGTGCAAGCAAAATGAATTCCTTCCATTATGAAGTTACCATTGTGAGTAAAACCGGGGATTATATCACATATATGTTAAATACCGCTGTTATCAGCATTTTATTTTCCATGTGCCACCGTTATTCTTGCATAATAAGCTTATAATGGCTGGGTCTGCTAGCGGAGATGTAGGTTACCAGCCACTGATGACATGTATCGGCTATAGCCAAGTGGCGAGTATTGCATAAACCTATATGATCTGCGTTTATCGATTGTATAAGAACACGAAAGATTCACTGCATTTTCTATAGAGTGTGATTGACTTAAAATTGAAATGGTTCTATCTGGTTTATTCTAAAATAGACAGGGTTTGTCTTGGAATAAGCCACTTTACACATTCAATATTCAGCATTCTAGGCGGTACCTGGCAGTGTAATACACAAGCGGAACAAATCGTTAAGCTCTAATCGACACTAAACTTGTAACCAGTGGATACAAACTTTACCGCAGACTATTGCATTAACAAAAAACGCACAGTATTTGGAATAAATTGTACTGCGATTTTCTTATTATTTTCAAAAGCACCCTGCCGATTATAGAACCAGAGTAATAGGTCTTATGTGGTAGTTTTGTAGGTATAAGAATCGCTACACTTTATTTTCTGTACGAAGCAATCAATTTCAGTTGTTATTAGGATCTTAAATAATACAGACTGGGGTTTTTTAGGTTGTTTTATTTGCAGCCTACATTAGTAAAAAAAACTTCGTCTTCCAATGTTTTCAAGATGATCTCTTGACGCATTAGAAATAACACCGCTGTTAAGTGGAAGAAATATCTAGGCGGCGCTATTTTAATTACAATCCGTGAACTCATCATTGAACTGGAGATGTGTCATTGCAATGAACTCAATACTGGTTCCTCCAGTGGTATACATACGTACTTTGTATATTATCTGCTTAATAATTCAGCCTGCTTTTCACAAGAAAGCAACACTAACGGTTTAGTTCGGTGAGAAGCGCCTGCTAAAACTAACATGCCATTTTTTTATACGCAACTTTTGTTAGGCAGAGGTGACGCTCAAGATAAGATCAAAAGCTTTCAAGGAGCTGTTCACCATTTAATCGAAATGTACCTGAAACTTATTTCCTGTCCAGAGCGACCGTAACGCGCCTAGCGAAAAGAACATCCACTTGAAAAACACCGCGAAGCATAGAAGATACCGACCAAACGAAAAAAATAAATTTGATGATAAATCGGGTTTATTACAGTCGCCTATGCACAAACTTGCAGTCAACAAGCATACAACACAAACATCTGAAATATGTATTTACAGCCTCAATTTTATACTAAAACTCATCTAAATTAAACACCTGCCACCGTGCAGATTCCTGCTCAACAGTTTCTATTAATACCATTGGCCAACGTAATTGTTTCAAAGCACGTATTTAGAAGAATCAATAGGAGTTCGGAGATGTGCTTGTTTCTTCGCCGGCACACCGGACTTCCATTACGTACATCTGTCCATGAAATTAATAGTTTCCATAGTGGTTTATACGAATAAGGTTGGCGGCACCTATTGTACTTCCCAGCGCAAGAAATCCTCCATTTGGAGAAAAGGCAGCACAAGATGGGTTACGGAACTTATGTCGCACTCCGGGAAAATTGGAAAACGCTGTTAAGCTACCCGTATGAACCTGTAAGTTAGACCCAGAAAGTCCATTACCAAAAATTAGCAATTAATAGAAATTTTCTAGTTTACTCACCCTCTTTATCAAAACGACACACATGTCAATAAATGTTTTACGGTTTTTCGAAAACTCCTAATAATAGGCCGCCATTGAATAAGGGACTTAATTAAGGAACTCAGCTCAATAAATAGCATAGATAATTATAGAGAAATTATTGTACTTCTCACAGTCGTACTCATACCTAGGTATATAGAAACAAAGTTATCTAACGATAAGAGCTGACCATTTTGACCGCCTCAGGTTTGTATCTCGATGCGATCAGAAGTATTTCTGATGACTCATTGAACGCTAATGAGGTAACTGGTGTGACTATATTCTTGACACATTTCAAAGGCTTCGGCGTCCGAGATGCATCACGTCCTTTCAGAAGATATTGGGCATCGTACACATTAACGATTCCACTGTCGCACCCAGTTGCTAGAAATCGTTCGTCGGCAGAAAGGGCTAAGGTCTGTCCTTTCAAACAACCGTCATCCAGGAACTTCTGCACACATCTGAAATAACCGACCATATAGATACGCATTGCAATTAATATCCACCACATGACGAAATAGGGTTCTTTGATAAATGTGACTTCAGGATAATCTACCAAGCTATCGATTTATGTAAACGATGTAATGTATCGACTACCGCTTAGCATTGGTTGCGGCTACTGCCTGTAGATAGAATATTTTAATGCCAACGAACCTTCTTACGCCTATATCCCATAGATAGACATAATTCTGACCGTGCGAGATCATTCTTCCATCACGGGTAAACACTGTACTCGTTACATCCTCATTCATTTTCAAGGTGGCAATCTGCTGTTTCGTTTGTGCGCAAATCACGTACATTTTGCCGAAGCGACCGTGAATAGCCAGATAACGACCACACGGGCTAACCTCGAAACGTTTCATATGCGTCAACTCGTGAGCTGAAGTTAGAAGACATAGCGGTATTTTGTGTCAATTGTTAATACAAGGGACAGTAAGGGAGGCCCAAAGTCTCAATGTCATTTACCTTAAATAAAACCTACCAGAGAAAATGCACCTTTGACGTTTAAATCTGTTAACTTCAAAATCTCTTCAATATAAAGGAACTATACGTAAGTAAGAAAAGTCCATACGCGTAAATACTAACCCTTTGGGAAGGTCACCTGTGTGCGCGTCCCGCTCATGAGATCATAACAATGCAACGATCGATATCTTATGCTGCCAGCCATCATCTGCATGCCATCAGAGCTCAGCTTCGCGCACGAAATGTCGAAATCTTTAAAGTAGACACTTTGGATTTTGTTGCACTCCTTTGCATCAATATTAAAGAACGTTATTACGCCATTTTTATGTGCTGTCATAGCAATTTCCGACGATGGATGGAACGCTAACGCCACCAGGGGGCTATGCTGAAAACAAAATTTGTTCATCTGAGGACACCGCGTGAAATCTAGTAAACCAGACCCCAGCGGCCTCATAGATGGATCAGTATCGACAAAAGACGTAGCTGTGCGAAGCAGTTGGTTGGCCTCTTCATTGCGCAGATGAATCTTTTTTTCGGCCTGAGTGGCCCATTTTGGACGCGAGAAAATTTTCTCGTGCTTTTCTCGGAGTTTCACAGATAGAGTCTTGTCTCGGAATGAGGCGTCTTCATGTTTGCTGCGAGTCATAGCATCAACAAGTTAGATAAACGTCGCCGATTCATTTCCCTTCGAACTTCTAATCGAAGATGGCATAAGTTTTATGATAACTTGGGACTATAAATAATGACAAATAAGTAAACCAATTATTACGTCAAAGCTCGACCACAGACGCTGATAATATCAAGTAATTTATAATTCTAACCTATTAACGGTGCACTGATCATCATCATCTTCCCAAACAGGCTTTCTTTCTATAGCTATTTCATCGTCTTCGATACTCTGTTGTTGTTCTTCACTCCACGACTCTTCGTGATCGTCCAAATCAATATTCCGGTGCGACATTTTTGTTGTCTATTGAGGAGAATAAAAAGTGTTAAAGAATAAATAAAATAGACATATTCAGACATCCATTGAAATTATTTTATTTCCTTTAGTTTGGATAACTATTTTTATCGTAAATAGATCTGTAACGCGTGCCTATTGCTTTCTATTAGCTTAATAGTTCATATTGCTTGATTAAATGGGAAATGATTTCTGAACTAGCATTCTTTTGCTCTGGGGGCTATTATCTGCGTTCACGATGAAAATACTATCTTGCGTGTTTCCGTCAGCAAAAGACAACGGAGTGAGTAAAAAATAAATCATTACAGGATATTCATGAGCGCTCTAACACTATCATTTGACATAAAAATACACATACGAAAGTTGTTGTTTCGTCCACAACAGTATAGACCAAATAGAAACTTACCATTCTCTTTTTAATGGGAACCTCTTCATCTGATTCAATTCGGCTCTTATCCCAGGTGCTTCCTCCCAAAACTATATCTTCTAATTCGGCTTCTTCATCATCCTTTTGATGTAGCTCCAGCATCTCTTTGTCTTTTCCCAATTCCGCGTTTTCGCCATCCAAAGTCTTCAATTGCGCTTCATGTTCCGCTTTGCGTTTACGCCCAGCCTCCTTCCTCTGATGCTCTTCACATGCAACCAACAACTCTATCCCCCGAACCTCTTGCGTGGTAGGTTCTTGCTCAGACATCTGTTGCATGACAGTACACATGACGATAGTACATTGCACAGTGTCAAGTAGCTGTTCTGACCATGTTTTCATATGCAGATGTGGACATAGTCCATAGAAGTTAAGTTCCATAAAATGCCTTTTGGTATTCGCGAGAATATATTTAATTCTATAGTTAATGTTTGATGGAAAATTCTTATCTGAACTTTACATAAGCGTCGTTACTTTGATACTAGAAACCCCGTATATTCCAGACTTGCCTTGGACCTTTCAAAGTGTTTGTTTCTTAAATCCTTAGCTGTCTGATTCCAACATGAAATAGCTACGCGTATGCAAAAAATTAACACAACGAATTACATTTTCGAGGACAAATACCTTTTAGTATCTGCTAAGTATCACACATTTGAATCCCTAAGGAATCGTTTTCCAGAATGCCTTGATATAACTGTCAAAACTATATATTCGTATAAGCGTTCGAGTGCCGCTCCGTGCATTACGATGAGGTCCTAACCCTCAGTGACTTCGCTGCGGCGATTAAAAAATTAACTGACGGAGACCTTCCTTTAGATATCGAGCGATACGCACAACGATGTCCTCACATTGCATCTTTCAGCACAAATTTAATTGTCGTGAGTTAATTATCAGCGAACGAAAACACTAAATTGCTTACTGGATATAGGTTTGTTGGAGCATGTTAGCGGTAAAAAAATGTGTGTTTCTTGACAATATAAAAACTTCACTTTAAAACATAAATCCTTTGATGGTATCATCTACTTGCAATGCACACAGGAAAGGATTCGAATTTTTGACGAGCACATAATAATGGAACAGATTCTTGGGAACTGAAATACAAACAGCAGTTCCCGCTACTCCGTACCATAATTTATATAAAACAGTTTTCAACTCTAATAACAATAACTAGCATAGAAACAAACCTTGCAATTCTTCACCTAACGTGCATAAGTAAAGTTGACACAACTGTTTTCAAACGAATGTAAACACACGTGTTCGAAGTAGCAGACAGCTCCTGATATCGCTATTACTGCTACTGACTTTGTCTGATATCTTGTACAAATTACACTGATTTGCATATCATGCGTTGCTCAGAAACGTGTATATGGTATCTACATGGGAAGATAAATACAGATATTTGAAGAAAAAAAAATACAGTAAACAGGAGCCGGTGTCGCTCACAGCGCCTGTCTGCTCGCACGGCTATTGCACTGTCTATAATGACAAAGTAAGTTTTGTTTGTACCAAAAAGCTCACGTTCGGCGATTTGAGCAGTAATTGAGCAGAGTGTGTGCCAAAGACCAGCAGAATGGTGGCAGGGACTATCCCTCTGACATCCGCCCAGGGCATCATCTCCCTCCTTGATGAGAACCAGACGGAGCTAAAAGTTTTCGCTCTTTCAAAACTTGACCAAATCGTCGATGAATTTTGGGCTGAGATATCCGAGGCGATCGAGAAGATCGAGATCCTGTATGAAGACCAACAATTTCCACATCGCAAGCTAGCGGCTCTCGTCGCCTCGAAAGTGTACTATCACTTAGGCTCGTTCAAGGATTCGTTGGACTTTGCTCTACAAGCCGAGGATTTGTTCGACATTAATTCAACAAGCGAATTCGTTCAGACCATAATTTCTAAAGCGATTGATGACTATACTGAAGTCCGTCAGAAAAATGCTGCATCCGGATCATTGCAAGCCGTTCGGATCAACCCCCAGCTCGAGGCAATCGTCAACAAGATGTTCGAACGCTGTCTCGAACATGGACAATTTCGTCAAGCCGTTGGCATAGCATTGGAAACCCGGCGTATGGACGTATTTGAGAAAGCGATCAAACAGTCAGATGACGTTAGTAAAATGCTGCAGCATAGCCTGCGAATCGCAATGACACTCATTCAGAACCGATCTTTTCGTGACCAAGTTCTTCGAGTTCTCGTAATTCTCTACAAAGGACTAGAACAACCTGATTACATCAATATGGTGCAATGTCTCATTTCCCTGGATGACGCTCCCTCAACCGCCGATGTGCTGGTAAGGTTGGTGCGATCCGTTCACAAGGAGCAGCAGTTAATGGCGTACCAGATTGCGTTCGATTTGTACGAGTCTGGAACGCAACAGTTTCTTATTCGTGTTATCCAGGCCCTTAGAGGAATGGCACCTACCAAGTCAGGTAATATTTCCTTTAAAAGATCAAAACCGGTTATTGCTAATTCATTGCTGAGTTACTTACCCAGGCATGTGAGTGACTTGGTTACCTAAAATTCTCTCGAACCTTATCTTTCAGGTGTACTGCGTATTAAACACTTCAGATAATTATATATTTATATAAGGCTTCAGATACAATGTGTTGATATGAGTTCAGTTAAGGAAAGTAAGTGAAGTATACTTCTACAGGCAAGTTAATGAAAATAACTAATCGATCGACTGGGGGAATATGGCTTACTGCATATTAGGAACGATGTTTTTTTACTAAAGAAAAAGAAGTGACTAAAACATGTGCAAAATCAATTCGAATATTTATTAAAATTAACTTCCATATATCTATAACCCCGATTTATGTTCCTGTTAGATCAATATTTTCTGTGCAGTAAAAGTAAGTTTCTTGTTCTTTTTTCCTAATATAAACCTAGGCGAGGCCCCTCCTCCAACGGTAGAGGAGAGTAAAGATAAGAAGAAGCCCGGCGAGATTGAGAAGACTGGTGATGAGTTATTAGACAAGCTTATTAGAGTTCTGTCGGGGGAACTGACCATCGGATTGCACCTGCAGTTTCTGATCCGGTCCAACCATTCCGATTTGCTTATACTAAAGCAGACGAAGGAAGCTGTCCGCAACAGCATCTGCCACACGGCGACGGTGATCGCCAATGCGCTCATGCACTGTGGGACCACCTCGGACGCGTTCCTACGAGATAACCTCGACTGGTTGGCCAGAGCAACAAATTGGGCTAAATTTACTGCCGTTTCGTCCCTTGGCGTCATTCATAAAGGTCACGAAAAAGAATCTCTCCAACTCATGGGACCGTACCTTCCTAAGGAAAGCACCACTTCATCAGGTTACACTGAAGGTGGCGGCCTTTATGCGTTAGGACTGATCCATGCCCACCATGGTGCCGCAATTATAGACTACCTCGTTCAACAGCTAAAAGACGCTCAGAATGAAATCATACGCCATGGAGCTTGTCTCGGAGTGGGTCTAGCCGCTATGTGCACGCATCGGGCAGATGTTTACGAACAGCTGAAGTTCAATCTTTACCAAGACGATGCTGTTACGGGAGAGGCCGCTGGCGTCGGGATGGGCCTGGTCATGCTGGGTTCGGGTGCGGGTGCGGCCATTGATGATATGGTGGTGTACGCAAAAGAGACTCAACACGAGAAGATTCTTCGAGGTTTGGCAGTTGGTATCGCGTTCGTCATGTTCGGCCGCATGGAGCAAGCGGATAGCGTCATCGATACACTGGCCAGCGATAAAGATCCCCTGTTACGACGCTCGGCGATGCATACCATTGCGATGGCGTATTGTGGCTCGGAGAATAATGCCTCGATCAAGAAGCTGCTGCATTTCGCCGTGTCCGATGTTAATGACGACGTACGGCGTGCCGCCGTAGAGGCTCTCGGCTTCCTACTGATCCGCACACCAGAACAATGTCCTAGTGTCGTGTCTCTGTTATCGGAAAGCTACAATCCAAACGTGCGGTACGGCTCTGCCATGGCTCTCGGCATCTCATGTGCCGGAACGGGCAATAAAGAAGCATTGGCTCTTCTTGAGCCGATGACCAACGACCCTGTGAATTTTGTTAGGCAGGGCGCTCTCGTTGCAACCGCTCTGGTATTGATCCAACAGAGTGAAGTTGTTTGTCCTAAGGTGAAGGAGCTTCGGTCCCTCTACCAAAAAGTCATTGCGGACAAGCACGAAGACGTGATGGCGAAATTCGGCGCAATCATCGCTCAGGGCATTATCGATGCAGGTGGCCGAAATGTAACTGCCGGTCTATTGTCGCGCACTGGCCACGTTAACATCCCGGCCATTGTCGGCATGCTTGGCTTTACCCAGTTTTGGTATTGGTTCCCGTTCAGCCACTTCCTGTCGCTTGCATTTACACCTTCGTGCGTCATCGGTCTAAATTCGTCGTTAGCGATGCCCAAGATTGAGTTCCGCTCGAACGTTAAACCATCAACGTACGCGTATCCGCCCCCATTAGAGGAGAAGAAGGAGAAGGAGCGCGAAAAAGTTATGACGGCCGTTCTCTCCATCACGTTCAAGGCCGCCGCGAAAAAACGCCAAAGGGAGAAGGCCAAGGAAGAAGGCGAAGACAAAATGGATGTTGACGACAAGGATGTCAAGGCCAAAGAAGAGGCCGACGCAAAGATAAAAGAAGATGCTGAAGCCAAAGCTAAAGAAGAGGAGAAAAAACCTGAACCCAACTTCGAAATTCTTGCCAATCCCGCACGTGTTGTGCGGCCACAGCTCAAGGTAATTCAGATGAACGAAGGCGCACGTTACCGGCCCGTAAAGGACGTCTCGATTGGAGGCGTTATCCTAATGCTTGACACGAAGTCAGAACAGGACGAAGAGCTAGTTGAGCCAGTGGTCGCTGGAGGGCTTGCGGTCGCCCAAGACGAGCAGGAGCCGGAACCTCCCGAACCATTCGAGTATGAAGAATAAAACAAACAACTTCAGTGAGTCTAAACAACAGAAGTAGTTCTAGCAGGTCTTCAAGCATGTGCTATATTAATTAATGACCTACTAAGGCACTTGAGAAAACGATAAAAGTACGCAACTGACAGTAAGCCCGCAATCGACATGAAGAGAACCGTTAGTGACGTTGTGATTCGGCTATGGAATGCTCTTAGCACAGAAACATTCAAATAAGCGGTGAAAAAAAACAACGAGAAAATACGGTAACTACAGCAAGATGGGCAAACAAAAAGTGGCGAGTGCGCATTTGCAATTATGTCCGTTAGAGTGACATACAAATCATCATCAAATACAACAAAACCACACAGTGAAGAACGACTCTGGCGTATCGGTGCCGGCTGTTTAAAAGAAGTTAGAGTTGCTTATCTGGTCAACTCATGGCGATTTGGTGCGCTAACCGCAAACGTCTATGCATTCAGTATCTTAGATTTTACACTTGGCAAACAGCATTGGCACTAAATGACGGCGACAACAACAAAACGCAATAAACGTTCTGCTTTAACGAAAGGCGGCGGTTTCAGGCTGGTGGTAAATGATAAGACAATTAGTTATTCGGCATAAAACATCATAAATATAATTGTAATAAAGTCTGGCTAGGCGTAAATGACAGTCAGGGTGCAATGTTACCCCGGTTGAATATAGTGCTGGATAAGGTAGGCAACGGTACTGAATAAACTTCATATGAGCTAGTTTTCTGAATTCGTTTGTTTTAATTTATTACATATAACTACATATGTCGTCGTTTCTGTATGCGTGAATTAAGTCTCGTGGTTTACAACTATGGGGTGAGTTAATCACTAATAATAATAACATCCATGTAGTAATATGACAAGCTTTTTATGTATTGTCTAATATTTTAGTGCCTTGAGCATAGTTCTAGTAATATACTATATTGTCATCCTTATATCATCTTTTACAAACACATTTTGATTTTATACTCGCGGTTTTCCCTATCCCCTTTAGGCCCCACTGCGTGAGTTGAAGCAGGCGAAACGTATATTCTATAAAAATTCGCACGATTCAATTTTCAAGATCATCTTAATGTAGATAATATTTGAGAAATAATTTTCTAATAAAATTATTTTTTCTAATTGTACACAAAGTTACATATGATTGTAATTAGTAGGCAAATCTATGCATAGGCCGGTGCTTGATATTGTCGCCTATCTACCCCAAACGCGAGCTTGAAGCACCTATTACAGTATACAAACAGTGTAAATACCTGGCCCTTTGTGGTACAGAGGGAATGTGTTCGGGTAATAAACTTATAAATCGTGTTTTAAATTCAAATCCAAGTGTGGACATACTTCACTTTGTGCTGGATGGTAGTCGGCTGAAATAATGCCTAACAAGTTTAGTACCAAAAGTAAAATACAAAAAATATTCTCTCAATCACCACGATTTCGCTCATTTGTGAACTACCCATTTGTATTACTTTTTAATGCAATATATACTTTAGTGTCGGAATCACAAAGAATCCTTTGTTCTATCAAAATCTTTTTTGTCTGGCGGCCTATATAATAATTAAATATATTCGAATATGATATAAGACATGCTTTTCAATGAATACCGGAGCCACAGCTAATTCCAAGTTAAAATAATTCGATTAGAGCAACAATTACTGACTCGATTACTCAGCTAAAGCGACGATCAATGAAAAAATATGAGTTTCACACAATCGTATGTTTAGTAAAAAGTATTTTCTTCGCTATATTTCTTTGTTAGTATTTTACAAATGTTTAATACGATGATTAATAAAAAATATCGTTCTACATTAGAATAGCAGTCTGAGCTACCAACTCAGCCGATATCAGCTTTTTATATTTGACCAGACGACTTCATGTCCATGACATTAGCTCACGCGATACAAGAACTTTGTGTGAACTAGAGTCGCATAGCACCCGGATATGGCGGCCGATATAGGCGATGCTGGCGAAGTCGTTAAGTGAACCATTCTCACTTGAATCTCTCTGAAGCTCTATCTTTAGGTAGCAAAAACAGCACGACTTCCCATGTGAGTATATCGTCTTGAAAAGGAGATTCTCTACGAGCGGTTAGCTTTTCTCGAGCTCGAAAATATGCCTTTCCACGACGCAGAACCCTTTGACAGCTGATGTTTTGCTCCTGACGTGTCGTTCTTGTTTAGCACCTGCGAAGAGCATTTGGATCAGGCAGCACCCGCTACAACCACACATACACTCTAGCGTTCCATCTGGCAAGCAAGTGGACGTGTTCAAAAAGCTGCGAAAAGAGTAAACCTACTCGCTGAATTTAAGGCATATAGAGTTGTTTTGTGTCGTGCTCTGAATCCTTCAGGATTTCGCAATGCATTCGTTGTGGACACGGTTGCATGCGATCTTGGCTTGTATGCTGAGCGCGCTAACTGCTATGACGTTCGTGTTCTTCTTATCGACAGCGTTCAATAATTATGCGACAGATGTCAAATTGTCTACCGTCAAAGTAGTTGTGTAAGTGATTTTGCCGTTGGTTTCGATAGTGAACGCTCTATCTTGTCAGCCCGGACTCAAGTCTACGTAGATGAGGATTAATACGATTTTCCGTAAAGTCCTATGTGTAATCAAAAGAAAATTCTCACTTTAAAATCAAACAGAGATATTTGCCAAGCAACTAAATGTTACGTTCTGATAATGGAAAGGAAGTTATTGTTAGAAGATTTTAAGCAGATTATTATGTATTTTGTTATTGTGTTAATATAGAGGTTTATGGGGGTTTCAATTTAAAGGGAAAAACTTAAGTTGATGTTTCATTGTTTACAAACAGTGTTTCGGGAATATCGTCGCATGTCTAGGCGATGACATGAAGAGTTAGAGGTTTTGAGATGCGCCAACATAAAGAAATTTCCTATAAATATCCAATTTGTTCCGACTAAAGGTTCTGTTTTACGACCCTTAGAGAGCAACTTAGTTTAGTCTAGCCGTATATATTGCACAAGCAGGTTAATTCGAGCTCTATAAAATCAGACATTTCAAGGCAGAGCAGGACTTTTAAGTGCGTTGAAATAAAATTGCTTTGCAGCAAAAGTGTGCCAGATTATACGGTATCCAAAGAGGAACTAGATCTCGGCGTGATCACATTCGACATCGATGCCAATTTGACTGAAGTCTTTAACTGGAACGTGAAACAGCTCTTCCTTTACCTTGCGGCTGAATACGAAACGAAAACGAACAAAGTCAATCAGGTGGGCTATCAACGATGTTTCCTGTATTAAGTATCTGCTTAAGTATTTGCTTCAGCATTCCATTAGGGAACAATATCTAAGATTTAGGCGTTATGGACAACGCGTCCTTTTTTTTTTTCTAAAAATGTGCCATTAATCAAATACAATTTTTCACTACATTTTCCGATGCATCGTCAAGGTACTATTACCTCATTTTAGGTGAGTGTTCGTAGTAACTTAAGGAGGGTAACTCGGCCGGAGAAAATTTGGTTGACAAGTAACAGGTGAAGAAAGCTCGATGAAGATCTTAATTTATTACGTGAATCATTTTACAGGTTGTATTATGGGATAAAATCATTCAACGTGGCCAGGACCCAATCCTCAAGCTTCAGAACCTGCATAGCAAATACTATTTCTGGGACGATGGCCGCGGATTACGAGACATTCCAGTAAAGCTTAGCCTCAACTGGAACGTAATCCCTAACGCTGGAATTTTACCAAATTTTGCTGGTCTTGGATCACACGTTTTTAAGTTTCCCGTCGAGTACTCAAAAAACGCACGGATATAGGTCAATCATTAACCATTCCCAGCTTGTGTAAATAATACACCCGAAAAATATATGAATCTATGTTAAAACGCAAACGAAAACATTTTCATTGTACGGACAGAACGACTTCGATTTTTGCCCAAATATTAGAATAATACCCTAATTGCAATATGATCTATGTAAACAAAAAAAAGCGATAAAAATATGATGTTCATGAGTAAAATTTGATCATTTGTTCGTATAGCAAGTGAAACGACGTCGCGTGATTAGCGTTGAGGGGGGGGGACAAAGGCGTCATGGTGTTCCGAATACCTACATCCTCTTCACCGGTACAACTTCCCGCTAGAATACAATTAGATTTTATTAGGTATACACCGGAAAAAATTATCAATTATTTATGCAATCTGACCAAATTCTCTACTAGGTGTGCCTGACGTGCGAAAAAAAGCTGCTGGTGAACGTAGCGAAGTGTCGTCCCAGAATGGGCTATATGAAGATGGTGCGAAAGTGAACAAGTGAATGTTACAATGATTTCATAAGCTAGTGCGGTATCGAGTGTTTCTTATATAACAATAATAAAAATATAATTTAGGTGAATTGTTGTACTAAAAAAACATGATGTTACCTCTTCGCAGCCGCAGAACCGAACGAGAAAACAGGATGTGGAATAGGTTAGAAAATGAGCTAACAATGTAAGGCAATTACGTGTAATAAAGATATATATATATATAAGATAACAAAGTATATTTTAAATGACTAAAGCGCGTTGTTATTCATAGTGCTTTAGCGAAGGCAAGGGTTGATTTACACTGAAATCGAACTTTTTTTTTTTCTTAAATAAAAATTTAGCAAGAGCTCACTATGGAGACTTAGTGGTTTTGTGTGCCATGTTTCAATCAGAATTGCAGAAGTAAAAAAAAAAACAAGGCACTTTTATTAGAGACTTCTCTAAGTTGCGGTTGAACATGTTCGATGTTTGGTCTTAATTACACACTGTACTGAGCGTGCGATATTTTATATCGTTCTGATGTTACTAAAAGAACTGTTAATTTTCAATGTGACTATTAGAAATGAAGAAAGCTGTTTTGCACCTCGAGTTAATTGATGTGCGCGTGCAATCGTATGAAATAGTTATACTGAAATGACAGATCGTAATTGAATCATTCTTTGCAAAAGAAGTTCGAACTGAAACTTCCTGATCTAAACAGAAAAGATGAGAAGTTGATAATATACTCAATACGGGGGGAATACCCGGTAATTTAAGTGGCTGAAGACAGCAATAGAACAATGGGATATATGGTGGATAGCGCAAAGCAACATTCTACAATTAGCTTTTAGTGGTTACTAATTGGAATGTTCCGAGTATAGAATATTAAAAGTGGGCTGATCAAAAAGTTTCTTGACAGGAGTTTACGGAGCTGATATTAAAAGTGATCTTTTTCGATAAAGATTTCGCTCTACTACATTTCGCTAGTTTTGAACGAATTAAATACATTAGTCATTTTTTGGTCTAAGTGCACTCCAACCACGGAATAATATTAGGCAGGAATTGCGGTTCAGGATTAAGTGGTCAGAACTACCATTTTCCAAATTGGAATCATTAAAAAGATTCAAAATTGTAGAACGATTTGTAGGGTTGAAAAATTTGAGAATTTTGAATTTGTGTTTAGTTAATAAACTAAGTTAAACTATACATACGCATATTAAATTGCGTCGTCTAAAATAATTACGCAATTTTCGATTATTAGATTTCTGCAACGAACTTTATTTACAATCACAGCCTGTTTTTTGCTTTTCGTTTTTCCTTTTTTACCACAAGCGACCCACGGAAACGATGATAGACGAGATTGCGGTTACCGTCCCTTTTTGCGATTCAACTCAATCATGAGCTCCTTAGCGTGTTCTTCCAAAAATTCGATTTTTTCGGTCTTACGCGCAAGGCTTTTTTGCAGCTTGACAATTCTTTCGACGAGCAACTTTTGATCGAGTTGAATCGTCGCCCCACCACCACCGTCTGCATCTTTCGCTAATCTCGATTCCGAGCCATCATTGGCACTGATGACCTCTTCGATTTTCTTCCGCGCAATTTGTAGCTCCTTGCTGAGCTGTTTAATATTTTGCTCACTTTTGCGTCTTACCTGTGTCTTTTCATGCTCCAGTTCACGCATCCTGCGCTGTGCGGCATCGCGTTCTTTTTCGGTGTCAGTGAATCGAATCTCGAGACATTTTCGTTCATTTGACATAATCCGCAGTCTCTCAGATACATCGGCCAAATCGCGTTCTAGTTGGGTGTTACGATCACTGAAAGAATTAAGGTCCTCTGTTAACAGGGATACTTGGGCCTTCAACTGCTGATTTTCTGCTTGGCTATGTAATGTGCGTTCGGTGAGCTGCTGCGTAAACTGCAGACTTTCGGCTTCTCGTTGGCCACAGCCGGCGTGATCTTCAATGGCCTGCTCTAAGCTGGCTTTTAGCCTGTAATTACGCAAATAATTAAAAGAAAAAGACATACGACTCTATATTAGAAAAGTGGAATAAACAAATTTTCCGGTGCAAATAATTTTGATTGACTTAGTTTATTGAGTTTAATTAATATTATCTGTTAAATGTGCGTTATATACTCAATTAAATCTAACACAGCGTTTAGTTTAGTAGCGTGATTCCATTGACATGGGATTTAATTATGATTAATTGATGAGCAAAATTTGAGAATCTTCAAAAAAAGGTTTGGTTTGTTCAGATATTATTTTTTGTATGTAGTAATCAAACGGCATGTATGGTTAATTTACCAAAAATGAAAACAACTATTTATCGAATTATTGATGGGGGGTAAAACCCCACGACGACGTATACGTAAAAAGGCAACGATCTAGATATGAGTATGTCCCATTAAAGGCTACTGTAGTCTTTTTATAGACGGCTCACCCTTCAATTTCAATTTGTGACAAAGAGAGGTTTTCGTGATGAACGCGATTTATGTTCTCGAGGTGATGTACGCGCTGATACAGTTCATCTCGTTCCTTTTGGCATTCGGCAAGTCGGGTTTTTCTGTCCTCTAATTTTTCGCTCATTTCCTTTGACTGTTCGGTGGCCATTTTAGCAAGTTCCTGTTGTTGTTCGGCTAACAACTTATCACAATACTTCTCTAAATCCTGAAGGCGATGTTGAGCTTTAGTTTTCTCATCGGTAAGCCGATCAATAATCCTCTCTAGTTTATTAAGATCACCAGCGCGCGCTTCTAACCTCGACTGCAGTCTGGCATAGTCCTGGTTTAACTGCCGCACTCGTGCCACGTAAACGTCCCTTTCTTTTGTCGTATCGATAAGTTTTTTTTCGAATGATTCTCGCGCTTTGCTTGCAGTGATGGCTTCATGCTCGCTCTTGGCATATTTCATTACGGCCGATTCTTTGTCCTTCTTGATCCTTTCCAAATCCTTTACCAGCCGTTCTTGCCTGACTAGCATATCCTCTTTTTGTTTTTGAAAGTGAGCGAGATCGCACATGCGACGCTCTTTTTCTTCTGCTAGAGCTGTTGACAGTTCTGTAAGGCGTTGTTCTAATGCTAACTTTTTTATCTGTAGCTGGCGGCTGGTGCAGTTTTCATCCGAGGAAAGGTCCATGTCTGAGTCTGATTTCATAGACTGTGTCTCCGTCGTACACCTGGAAAGCCTACCATTCAGGAGAACCTCGGTCTCCGAGTGACGACGCGGTATCGTTGGACCATCTTCTTCATCATCTCCTTCGAGACCTACTTCAGACATGCCATCGTTAGAGGATGAAGTGTCTTTACTGGGCCTATAATTTTTCTTCATATTATCATTTTGAAGCTCATGTTCGATATGGTCTTCTGAAGGTATGGGAATGGATTTCGTGTCATCTTTATTGCCGTTCAGTATCTCAGGTATTGCAGGTACTGCATGTGATTCAATGACTTGTCTCTTCGGCTGACCCGCATCCTGGCCCACTTCAGTCTCTAAGGCCTCCATTGTATGTTCGTTGCTTTTTGGCATTTCGTTCTCCACAAACGGAACTACGGAGCTTGTCATTTTACCAAAACACAAATAAGGTCCTACGACTAATAGTACATCAGTGGAAAGCACTAATTGACATCAATATGAGGACAGCTGGTCAGTCTTTGTCTATCAGCAAAACATTTTCTATTTACAGCGGGAAGCACAGTAATCCGAGCATTCAGGTTATGGAGGAAGTTACTTAGCTCAATAGAGGGCAACATTATTCGGCCTACAGCGGTCCCCTGGAACTACCGCGTTGGCCCACCGGACGCCGCATATTGGCGATTTCCGAACGACTGGATACACGGGATGCGCCCTTAAGGGCTTGCATCCAAAAGGAGCACACAGGCGCCTCTGCGATCGCAGTATATGGAGAAATTACGGACCGATTATATGCTCCTGCACTCCTAAAGTTATCCCAAGCCTGACTAGGGGGCGCAACAATCGGCTGGCGCCAAAACCTCCCTTTGCATTATAAATAGCGATTTCAGTGTTATAGTCGGCGCTACGTTAACCAACTCATAAAGGCTTTACACAGGTGTCCTTGTTTTCATGTAAATGATACCTGGCAGCTAATCTTATTGTGTGCTCCGTTTCGAGGAGAAATGGTTGTTGTGTAGTCCATGGGTACACCATCCTTTCGCTCCTCGCCTCGGAAAGCTGACGGAAAAAACAACACACTGAATGAACGAAATGGAGACAAACTAGAAAAAGCGCCAAGCTTAGATCAGCTCAAGTGAATAACTTAATTATGGCCGCGACAGGCACAAGGCGACGCGTTATGCTTTTTGTTAGAAAAAGGTAGCTAGGGACTCCATTAGTGCTTGTAATTTTCTATGGCTGTCAGCTGGGTATTAGTGACACAAAAGATCGATAGATAACAATGCAATATATCGTTATACATATAGTTAAATAATGTTCTGGTAAACATCTTTGTATCTGTTATGATGCAGTGGTTACGCGTTTACCTATTGTACCTGGGGAAAATTAGTGAAGTCGTATAAGTTGGAAGCCCAGCTAAAACACGACTCGTTTCATGCCAAAGGGGCCAGTCATTTAAAGCGATGTTTAGCAGGGATATAATTAAACGTAAAGCTCGAAACATTGAATGAGAATATTCCTCGTAGCTTTAGCTGAGGTCAGCCGAGTTAAGGTCCTGAGAAAACAATTTGTGTGTTATATTTTTTTTCAAATATTCATATCTGTCCGAATGTGGAACCGAACTAGTTCACCATAGAACGAAGTCCTTTTTTAACTCTTACCTATGAGATAACTATTTCAAAGCTTGCACTACCATTTTTCTCGAAAATTGTCCTAACTTAATATCGTTGGTCATGCCTATAACAAATAATTGAACATGTTGTAGCAAACATGGAAAATTTAGTAACATAACATTTGCTTATTGATAGTATATTACTTATTGATATATACTAGATTTCTATATGCATACAGTTGCAGCGATCATATTTACGTACATAAAACCCAAACGTTTCTGTCAAGGATTCATTCCGCCCTTGGACACCATTGATTTGCTTTACCCACTATTAATAACGTAGAGAAATTTGAAATTAGAAATATTCGCAAAGTCGTAGCTGGCTAAGAGAAAAAGTTTTTCTGATCCAGTAAAGTCATTTTGAAAATTCACGACATTATTAATGAATCGCTTTTACTAAGTTAATTTTTTTAATTTAATTCCTGTCTGAAAATCTCGGAAATTATATTCAAATATAGATTGTTTAGAGACAATAGCTCGAATTTTCGGGTATATAATAAACTAGAGATCTCCGAGTAGTACAATTTAGCATTTGGCTTACGTGCACTGTTGTGGCGTTCGAAAATATTCGAAAATCCTGACACCTAGGTACTACAAAACGGAACTCATCTAACAAGTAAATCACGGCACACACAAACTAGGTCATAGTTCTACTTGAGCAACCACTAAAAATTAAGCTTTTTTGCAAAAGAAAAAAAAACTTAAAATATCGTGCAAGTCTGAATCCGTGTACACATCGAGATAATTTTAAGGCTAATCTTTTAGAAAGCTGAAATTTACATTTTGATCATTGTAGAGCATCGACTTGTAAACGAATTTACGGTAAACCATCAATTGTTTTGTTTGCTACCAGAGTACTTTAATAGCACTTTGTATGAATGTCTTTGGCTGTTCTTGTTTTCTCCTTACTAACTAGCATTCACGAAGTGATAGTAATCCTCAAAACATTTTTTGATAATTCTACTAAAATATTGTCAGACGTCAACAATACACGTCCATAGTAAAAACAAACTAACAAGACAATTACTGTACAAACGTTATATTAAATTTATTTATTATACATTCTGATGCTTTGTACCGTTGGCATGTACACATCTGTACAATATTCAATAGCGCATGTTTGTATCTTCACTTTTATTTGCATAAACAACCCGTAAAGCGATGTTGGGATTTGAACAAAAGTCAAATCCGCCTCCACTAACTGGTGTTCGCAGCTCTTTCCCGTACAATATCCTAGCTGTTTCATCCAAACAACATCGTAAACATGTAGCATTCATTATTCGAGTACTCAACACCTAACCACCACAATGGCAATGCATGTACAGTTTAGCAAGTACATTTATATAACTATAAAAGTACATATATATATTTATAAACTAATTATTTGAAATTGCATACACAACGATGTTGGGTTTTTAGCTTCGTTATATATACATATTGAATCGACTGAGATTTGTTATGTGCTACTCTTAAGCTCAGATCCAACACCGCTGATAATGTACGTGATATTCATGATTGTGAAAGCAAAAACTTACAAGTTGCATAGCCTACTTTTGCTAGGGGACAAATAAAATACATTTGTCCCTGAATACAAAGCAGTACCAGTTGCATATATTTAACCGCTTCTAATATTTTTTTTGTAAATAATTCTCCTACAAATTTAGACAAATGATATGTTGCAAGTGTTTTCTAGAGGATGTCCTTTCTGTGGTTTCTGGAACTTGGTAGGCTTAGGCGGTAATGGAGGTGCGCCACTTGAAAATAGCGCTACTCCCGTCTCATCGAAAACAATAGCGCCTGATTGGATTTGCGCCAAGAATGCCTGAATATCCTGGCCTTTTGCGTACCATGGACTAGCCTGGCCGGCACCAATTTGACCTGCAAGGTGCCACTCGGGCCTCTGATTTTTCAATGTTAACACTAATCTAGCTCCATCTAGTTGGCTACACTGTGTCATCGGATCAAGCAGTTTTGTCGTGTTGTAGAGTCGACACGCCATCTGCCCGGCATCGAGACCGTATCGTAGACAAACTCCTTGAATGACACCCCATAGAGTTGATGTCGGCGCGCATTTTAAACCAAGGATTATACCACATGGTAAAGCCAGTAAAAAGGCTACGCGAGGTTCAATCGTAATGGTTTCCTGTAATAATTGTGATACTGGTGTCCCCAGATCGACCGGCTGTTGATTCTGTGCAACGAATACGTCTACAAGGGACGCTCCTGATGTGGCGTTCTTTTGCAGTATATCCGAGATTATTTGAGGCAGCAATTCCGTTCCTGTAACAGGAATTTTTCTCGTTTCGCCCGATGGGATGATTATATATATGTATTTGTCGTCAGCCAACGAAGACGTGGCATACATTGCATCCCTCTTTTCCTCATCTTTTTTCTTCTTACCTAGTTTTTTTACATTAGGAAACAAGGACCTTCGAGCTTTGGCTATACTGCCACCACTCGTCGATACGGATGAAGCGGACGAATTTGACATATTTCCAGGTCGGTGATTGCCGTTTAGATCTGGATGAGATGAAAATCCGGGGTTGTTTTTCTTATCAGCTAGATCGGCAACTTTATCTACCGATTCTGCTTTTACTGGTGAGATTAACCGTTCGCCGTTTACCTCTTTGATGAGACACTGCTGGTAAAGATCAGATTTAAGAAATCTCGGGTAACAGTCCATTCTCATAAGGTTGTAAATATGTTCTTGGGCGACGGTAAATAGGTCTTTTGGCGCGAGGCCCATTTCCAGTTGTGAAACAATGTCGCGCAACGTCGGGCCGTCAATATTTAGCGGTTCAGCGCAATCTTCCTTAAGATGCTTGTCGAAGATCTCCCTCGCTAAAGCTTTACGCTGATTCACGCTTTTTTCGTTACGGTACTTTTCGCATGCGGTCCAGAAAAAAATGTTTTCTTGGGCGAATTCCTTTTTTAGAAATTTTGCGAATATAAGAATACCATCTTCATGATTGAGGACAGCATCTAAGGATTCACTCCACGAAGCTACCGGCGGCAGGCTTTGATCATTCAAGCTGCCGCTTTGTCTCCTGTAAAGCTCTGAACCATTGTGACGTGCAGTCCGAGACTGCCCATCGTTGTATTTGGGCGTATCCAAAGCATCTAGCGAATGTTGTTTCCGCAGCGAGTACACTCTCGGACTATGTTTGTAGTGATGAACAACGTCAAGAGAATCCAATGATACCTGACTCTCACTTGTTTTACTCGGTGATTTTTCTAGCAGTATAAGATCTCTCAATTTGGCTGATACGTCTTCAAGTGAGTCTTCGAGCAAATTTTGTTTCGCCAGTCCACTAATGCTCCCAAGCTGGCCGCTATTAACCGAGCGCTCAAGAGAATCGTCCCGACCGGAATCTGAGTCGTAGATATGTCGTGTACCCGTCCGGATGGCGGTCGCTGACGACGCGGAGCAAGCCCTAATTTTTGCCAAGGCCATCAGAATCGGGTGAGCAGTCGACGGGAATTCCTGTAATCAAATGTCAACATCAATACGAACACGATCAGTTTCTTTCAAGACATAAACTTGCCAAGTATAAATCATCAGGCATTTAGCGCTAATGAAAAGCAGTACGCAATCAGTAAAATTAAGGTAGCTTCAAGCTCGAAAAAAGCAGTCGAATAGGCGCAAAACTAACGCCATCAGATGGACAGTTATTTTTCAAGTTCTGTAAGCAGTATATACACAACACATCTCAGATTATCAGAATAACCCCAACTTTTCACTTGCAAACCCAACTCGACTGAGCTGTTCTAATAGCTATGTACTAGAATCCATCGAAACTGAAATCGCGTATTTTTGCAGACAAGGTTCGTCTTATTAACGTTTAGTCATATAATTCAGTTTCTCTTCTAATTCGATTTGATGAACCACCTACTATTATACTGACATATTTAACTATACCATACGCAAATTAACGTAGCTTAGTTCTTTCGTCGGTTAGAATCGAGAAAATGACCTAGAAGAAAGCGTTTTCCACATGATTCCAGCTTGTGGTACCATGAGCAAGTTTAATAAAAATAATTGAATCACAGAAGCTAAAAGTGTATAAAATAAAAAGGGCGATTATGGAACAATAGCTATCACATTGCATTATTTAATTAGCAATACGGTTAACAGTTATAATGATAATGACAGACAGAATGCAACGAAACGAAATGTTAACGGAGAACAAATTGTTCGCGCTCACTCACTTCGATTCATCATTACACTGGGTATGTAAGATCTAAAAAATCGGCAAATCTGTGTCGTTCTATCTATGTCTATGCCAGTGGTAGAATAGCATGTAATGTGGCAGAACATACACGAGTGAGTACCTAAAAAAATACTTGCGTATTGGCACCCTAACACGCTCCCTGTCTAAACTTCTTTCACTACCTTGCAGGTGTTCGTCCGCGGATCTCGTTGGCAAGCAATTTTAAACGTGCGAGCCCGTCTACCGTGACTTGCGTGCGGGACTAGTCTAGAATCGGCCACGAACACATGCGCCGACAGTTGCTGTGGGCTTTGTCGTGTTACCACGCCGAAATACGAAGGGCTGGTTTCATCCATGCCTAAAAAGCAACAGTAGAGACGACATTTAATAAATGTTGCTATGACTAAATGTGCTATATGTTACGCATACAACTGGATTATGCAAGCATAAATATTGAGATCAATGATACCCGCAACTAACCATAGAACACAATACGATCCTGTGTAAAGCGGGCCACCGCTGTTCCCCTGTGGTTACTCAATACTAGTGCATCACTGGTTACCTGAAACAGCAAAGATCAAATGGGGAAAGGAACACTCGATTGTGTACGCATAAACGATTCTTGTTCTGAAAATACAAACCCTAGCTTCGGCTCTACCCTTAACAAAGCTAAGATACTGTGAAAAGTTACAACATAATTGAAGCCCATTATATTCATTTCCGAGACCGCCCCGGCATGTTAACAAATACAGTATAATAAGTCCTTGGATGAAGAACAATATAGCACTGTTTTTGGCAAACGCCTTCAAGGCAATAATCATCCACTTTGTGTTTAATAAGAGGCTTTAATGTGTTTAATAAAAAAAAAAAGAACAACATTTAAAATATTCTACCTAAGAGGGTTTGGCGTCCTGGCTTTCTTTTACGGCCATTCGCATATTTTCTAAATCATTGAAATAATAAATCTCACTCCTCTAAAAACCCTCCGTATATAACTAGCATTAGGCATCGTCAATGAAGTTCTACCGTTTGCAAAGCTTTTAATTATAAGTCGTTCTCCCTTCTGAAGTGCGGTCGACGCTTCACCCATATCTGTGGCAATAATCCACAAACGACACCATATAATAAGTAAGCCCCGTTGTATAACTTTTGTCTTTACGCCCGTTTAAGCATTCGACGCTCGGCATTCTGGCGAATAGCCTCGTATGACTATTTGTGCTTCTTTCGTGACACGCGTCACGGATGAGTTCGGATGATGTCGAAACGAACAGGAAGGTATCACTTACCCGACACGCGTGACACACACACACGGTAATAAAAAACTATTGGTATAAAAAGATATATTAAATGGAATATTGTACCTTAGAAAGTAAGTTGAATATTCGGGCTATAAAGATGTATTCAATATAGAAGTTGATTAGGTTTAGAATAACGGCTGATTATCTCGTTATTCTGATATTGTTATCATCGACATTCGTAGAAGATAAATATCGTGCTCGAGCTGGTGGAAAGAAACTGCTAAAAATGCTTCAAATCGTTTTTATCAAAGGTCTAAATGATATTTTTATAGTTCGTTTCAAAAAATTAATCGAATTATAAAATGATTATTACAAATAATCAAATTACAAATAATAGTAATCTCGATGTTGAATACTTGTTTTTTTTTTATGTACGTACAAATTATACATACGCAAGCAAATAGGCTTATTTGTAACTGTAAGAACATCGAACCTGCATAGCTACAAGGACTCTTTGTTGGTCTCTCAGTTGGGCGATAGCTTGTCCAAGTAGTGCCTGGGCCCAATTCTGCTCGGATGAAGAGGATGAAACGCTCCCGAGGTAGGAAAGAACTGCCCGAACGTAGTTCTGCTGTGATGGCCATATCGAACCCCCAGTATCTGCAACAGCTAAACCTAAAACGCGTAAGATAGTTCATTTATTATTGATTAAACTAATTATATTAGGAATAAATAAGAAACTTTCGTGGACGATAGAAGGTGCCTTTAAAGGAAGAATGATATAATATATATCAAAAAATGCTGCTTTAAACGCTTCTTGGGGCTGGTTAGAAAGTGCGCAAGTGTAAATTAGTTCCCTTAACGATTAGATCACCTTTTGAGGACCGGTATTTCTTTATTGTATATACCTACTATGGTACGCTCCTTATAGTATAGTGATAGGTCTAATAATATAGTATAGTATAGTATAGTATAGTATAATATAGTATAGTTTCTTCAAAACATTTGTCGAACGCAAATATCAAACGAACGTGGATCATGGAACGATGTACGCCATATATGAAGCAAATAAGAGTATGGAATTTTTTTATTAGACCCTCTGTAGTGACCGTTCAGTGCTGTGCGCTTTTTCAAATGAGCCTATTACGACCTTGATAAACGTTTCATTACATGGGCATATTATTATATATATATATATATACTAAATGGGCACGTTATTGCAATACTACGATAATCTGTTTTTTAGTTCAAGGGCATCCAGTCAAATCTGACCCTACTGAACAGTAACAAATGATTAATTATAGCATGAAAATTAAATTCTTCAAGCATATAAATGTATATGAATTTATTTACTGAAACCGTTCCGTGGGTACCTTTACGATATTTTGCGAAATATACGATCCGGGCCTTTTATTACAATCATGGAAGTAATAGGTGAGATACCAAAAATGTTCATGTTAGGTTGACGACAACAGGCTGACTTGAGTGTAGTGATCCACTAGGCAAAACTGTAAAGCTCTATATATAACTAACATTTTATAGGTAACACATCCGTAAAGCTCATAACACATAACTGCTGTACAAAATAACACTTACTGATAATCAAGTACACCACTGCTAGGAAAACAAGAAGTTGCTCTACGAGTTGATTCGACTTTCATCTTACCAAATGGAGAAATTTACCATTAATGCAATGCAATAGCGCGAGCCTATACTAGAAGCCTACACAGAAGTTTATGGACCCTTTTGATATCGTCGTCGATAACCAGTGGCTAGTGGCGACTCCTTATGGAACCACGTCATTCTATGGTAAAGGCTAAACATGAAATAAATAATCCGTAACTCAATAAGAATGGTTGTGATCTTTGTTCTATATTGAAGATTTGGCCTTGGTAAACGGGCGAGTGCAGAAGTACTCCTCTTAACAACAATTGCCCCCTAAATTTATCTATCTCGAAGATATCTCGAAGACGATATATGCCTCTTGACCTTGTTTGGATCCAGGTGTTATGTTTGCATTGGCCCATACGATAAAGTAGTGTACTCATAGGTTGATTCAGCACATCGGCCTACGTTAATCTGCTGTATGTATGGCGGCACTGTAATAATTTACAAATAAGCTTTGGCATATCTGGAAGCTGTGCGAAAATGTATGCGCACCTTGGGCCTGGCCACTGAAGAGGATATGCCTGCACGTGGTTCTCATTTAAGGTGCCATCAATACGTTTTCGAGCTAAGCCTTTCGTTATGGCAATCCACTTATAAAGCACGTAGCTGTAGACAAATAAAGTGTACGAAAACACATCATCTCAAAACTACGTATGGTACCGAAAACAAAATTTAGCCAATACCAGATATAAGCACGAATAAACAAAAATAATTACTTAAAAATATCCGCATTCTTGTTTCCTTACGGGACAGTCGTTGATGTCGGCGCAGATACTTGACAAGTTGCGTCGACCGCTTTCGCAGATGCCGCCACTTTATTGACGACAGCTGGTGGATCACTTCGTCGAACGGTAGGTTCTGCATGTTCATTTTCTTCGTTTGCTACTCACGATGTCGCACAAGTTACAGATTACCAGTCATAAACGACAGAGCACAGTACTTGTTATCATTATCACGACTATTATTGAGCACCATTTACGTAGCCGATGTTTTATACGAAAGCCCATACGCTTCAGCATGAATAAATTAACGTAAGCCATCGTGCGCGTCTTCAATGCCGCCGCTGTTTTTGCAGCGCTTGTTCCTCAATTTTTGTTCATCAGTAAAACAGGCGAAGTGTCCTCGGTTGCCGCAGTCGCTAAAGAGCAGGTCCACACGTCTCACCGGCGCAGATCACGGAAACACCGTAAATGCGGTGAAGTCGCAGGATTGCATCGATCCCTGTGCCTTCTTCTCTATTGGCATTGTAGTTAAGCCGGGGCCTAGCTCGGGCTGCGTCAGCAAATGGTCAAACCGCCTTATTCTATGGATGGTAACCTCTCTGAGGTTTCTTCTGAGGTTGTAGAAACTCTCCTTTCGGAAAAGAAGATCGGCTGCTGCCACTGAAGCGGTTCTCAGTAGAGTTTGGCGTCAAAACGCACGTTTTCACGCACAAAAGCGTATTGAATAAAGTTGAGATTGAAGAAAATCATCATCCGGGATGAACAAATCTAATGAGAGACGGACTGCTAGCGTTGGCGGTGTGTCATCAGCCGAGCGACCAAGGGAAAACGGCTTCTTTTTCAACCAGGCTCAATATTCATACACGACGAATCCGCCTCACACTAATTCGAGATGAAAAATGGCGTACTAATGGGGCTACTGAGGCCAGTAAGACAAAAGTCTTGATCTGCATAACATAACCTTCGCTTCCAGTAGTTAAAAGTGAGACAGCACCGAGTGCAACAGCGGCATCGACAATAAAATTGCACTTTAACACAGAATGGGCAAGTATACGCCATCCTGTCTCATCCATGGACTATTTGTTTCTGCTCTCGCTGCCGAATGGAACGATGCCATTCGAAGGAAGTTAGCTGTATTTACATTATAACCAACTGTGTTATATTTTAAACATAACTGATGCTGCCACCTTTGTAGAACCGGGCGCGCCCGCGCCCAGCTGAGCCGCGACGGAAAGACGCTCAATCAACCCTTTCCTACCCTGTTGTTTGCCAACAGCAGGGGGTGGAGTCTAGAGAATAACGCTTTTGGGCTAACCAAATCGACGGAATTACCAGGTGTCGATTATAGCATTACATATAATTAAGGGACGTACGTTTCTAAACACAAGAACTCGTCAACACAGCACTTGTCTCAAAAACAATTGGCAAGCAATAACCCGGAACGGTTAGGTAAAATTTGCCGAGAAATTAATGTACCCGTAGTGAGTTTGGAAATTTTTAGAAATTCTCTTTTTCTCTTAGTCTCATCACAGTGTGACTGTGTTCCCAACTGAAACTTAATATTAACAATATGACATCATTATCAAAGAGAACAAAAATTTTCTCACAGCTATTTCTCTCTGAAACTCAAGTTTATTTCTGTCAACCAGTTTAATGTCTACTCATTGTACGTCTTATAGGTTCAGACTTATCTCCAGCGCTCATAACCGTCCGATTTGCTATTCCGCCCGCTCGGTGGCACTACAATTACTACGAGGTAATATAACACTCGGGACGGCTAAAAAAACATCTCGTAATCTAATAGCGGCAGCTAACAAGGGTTCCGCATAGATGCTGCGGAAAACGGCAGACCTTTTGAGTCAGAATAGTCGTAGTAGGTAAGCTAATTAGATGCCAGATGGAATCTCCAGGACGCCCACCTGGCTCACAGGGTTGTGTCTAGCTTATCCCACAGGACGAGGCAACAGAACAAAGCGCCCTACTCCTTAATTTGGAAATGCTGTTTCTTTGTCGATCCATCGACGTTAATCTGCTTGCGGATCTGTCCTTGAAAATAAATTCATTAATATCATGTCATAGTACCGTTCAATTTCAGAAAGACAGTTCGTAACTTCTGAGTTTTTTCTCCTGCTTTCATTCTGTTCTGGACAACTGATTCTTTCTTTGTTCACTAACCCCTCTAATTTAGATGTCATTTTTTATTGTGTTGGGTTAGTTCGGATCGACTCCGTTCATGTCGTTTATATATAAATCGCTTTTCTCCGTGGGCAATCTTTTGCACTTTGTTTCCTTTGGACGTTTGGTTTCCTTTTGTGGTTACAAGTGCACTTGTAATCCTACAACATTGCCTCTTACCACCGCCCGGACCAGCAGACCATTCTACCGGGAGACAGTTCCTGTGTATTTCTTGCTTTCGCCTATTTATCTCTGATCTTAAGTGCGCCAGTGCGGTAATGTCGCACAATGATGGTTGGTCTTCGTGTTTGGGTCACGTTGCGTGTCCGACGCAGAACCACCTCCTGGCCATAGGCGCGTACAAGCATGCTCAGCTAGCCATTTAAGCTGTCAATCAATCAGTTAGTTAGCGAATCAGTTAGGGGCCTATTCGGCCACCCAGACAACACGATCAGCTGAAGGCAATTCATTCGTTCGAAGTAAATGGTGAGCGACCGCGGTGGCGATGTCTACCGCGACGGTTCATGCTGTAAATGTGAATGACTTCGGTCGTGCACGCTCCTTCTGCTCGTTCTCCCGCAGAGTCATGTCGAGGTCGGAGCACCGGGCCACTGAGCAGCCTATATAATTGACGCTTACCTACTATCGAATATAACCTATACGCGCTCCACACCCTAGACAACCAATGTAGAACGGTGCATTTAGACGTTTTGTATTTATCTCTGCATGTGGGGGGCCACTGGGTGGGAGCGCGTTTGCGCGGTGGGCGTACCATAAGCATGCTATTGGGTTCTAACGGTCTTCAAGCCGTCATAGATGAGTCTTCAGATAAGTTTGACAACACTGGCTGTGCGGGAACGTCATCGATCACAAAGACAACCAAGATGATGGCTGCTGCCGAAATCACTTTTTTATGGTTCTCCTGTTCAGAAGCGTTTTCTGAATGACTCTTGGAACAATAGTGTTATAGTAAAATAAAATAATATAGTGAGCTGTCATTGTATACAAACACGCAGACAACACACATACACCTTGTTGCTATTAATGTCAGGCTGAGCATCCCGCACCATCCGGAGATTTTCGACAGTTGCTAGCAAAGTTGATTCGCTAGCGCTGAGTGTTAAGTCGTTAAATGAAGAAGCTTGCTGGTGGATAGTCTAAATCAACGGGTTTAGTAGAAGCCGTGAATGAGACCCGTATAAGCGAACAAACAACACGTACGCACATCCGGGCAAACGCTGGTAGTTCAAACGTGGAAGTTTCAGCGTAAGGGCAACGGCGCAAAGGCCGATAGATGAATACAATTCAGACTATAGGCAAAACACAAATCTCTTCTTCACATCTCCATTGGTGAAAAATTTCAACGAATCATCAATGAATGTTCGTATACATAGATTGTCTATGAGCATCGACGAGTTGGTAGTCTATGCTTTGACCGACAAATACTGATTGTAACGTAAACGCTAGCGAGGCTTGAGCAAATGGATTTCATCCGCACAATGGACTTCGCAGCCGAAACATCTATACATACAGATAGCTAATGCGCAGTTATAGTCTATTGCCTCGATATAGGCAGTATTCGTAGGGATTTATATGTGCTCGATTGCGTTAAACGTGCATTATAGCTATCTGAAAGTCTAAAGGTTAATCGTGTGATTGCATGGCCTTGGGGAACATCCAAGTACTTCTGTTTCCAATGTATTATAAGATCTACCTGCAGAGGGAGTAAACACCACATTGTTAGTCGTATGAAAACGACCTTTTTATGGCTAGTGATTTTGATGCTTAATCCAGCTGCGATACATGAAGTTGCATAAATCTATAGCGTCCAATGCCACGACGAGGTGGGTCACGCCCATAATCTACTTAATTTATGGGTCTAATTTTAATCTGTGTTCGCTAGAAGAAACAATTTTCTAATAGCCAAGCACCTAGGTAGAATACAACCCTGTGCTTTATTAAATTCCTTTGTAGTATATTTGAACACAGATAAACCACGCACATACATCACGGCCTCGAGTAAATATTAGTAATAAGGTTAATAGTAGTGGACAGATGCAAACTTAATTTGAATAGGCGATTGCATTACCTAAGATAAATCTTCCGTTGCTTTTCTGGTCTTATAGTTAATTCATGCGCACCAAACGTTTTTATTTTTTTTTAAAATTGTATTAGATAATAGCGGTGGCGTTATTATAAAGCTCTAAATGAACGACCTGTAGAAATCGCTGTTGATAACTCATTAGTTATCTCTCGGTCAATGGAGGTAAAGACACAACAGGGTCGGCGCAATAACTGGTGTAGCATCCCGTAACAATATGGGCCAAGATGACGTTCCAACGATAATTCTATCTATTATACATCATCATTTATGGAGGCTTTCATTGGGCAACACTAAGCACTACGGAGATGTTAACGACGGGAAAGGTTAAACAATAACGGCAGAAGGTGTAGGGGCTATGTTTCTGTTTGTTGTCACGTTTGCCGCGTATCCCTGTGAATACAGTCTACTAGGCGTGAAATATAAAAAAAAAGAGCCTTTTGGTAAATCCTTTTACAAAATATCATGAATGATGTGCAGGTACAGCGTCATTTCATAGGCAGATGTGAAGAGTTGGCTTAGACTGGGCAAAAGCAAAAATATGAATTATTTACAAGGAAGACGCTTTGGGAATGCTCGAATTTTTTTTAAAAACATCTGTTTGCCATTCCTGGACAACTGGTTTCTTGAAAAGATCAATAATAGAAGCTGTTTTGTAATATGTAGATGACCTCACAAAAAAGTTCTGTCATTACTGTTCCTACTCCCAAAAGGCATCGGACAACCCTAAGGACTATTTACTAGAATCTTCTTGTTAGTAGTAGAAGATATTGTTGGCTACACTGTCAAAATGTTTGGCTAAAACGGAAGAAACAAGCGAATTCCCTTCCTTTTTACCTTAAAACTCCTATTGATTACACACGTAGGACATAAAATACTAGACTATATCCAATTAGAAAAGTAGCAACTATTCCTCAGACGTGGCCACAAATGTCAGATTTATAGAACTCAATTAATCATTTATTAAAAAAATGTATTCGGCCTACAAAATTCAAAATAAAAACCAGATGCATTCGACTAGATTCGTCCAGTTCTTAAGCCAATAAATGCCGGTCATTGAATCCTTAAAGCCTCGAAAAGGCCAACAAAACAATGGTATTGCCAGGATGAAGGTTTATTATAAGCAGAATTAAAAAATACAATGCCATTTGTCGCTACTGTTAACCGAGCACAGTCGAGCGGAGTTATATATATATATATATATATATAATACCCTCCAGATACAAAGTGACCAATAATAGGAGAACAGGTAAAAAAAAAAAGGATAACTCACCTATTTTATGCCACGTATACGTTCGTATATATATGCTCGGCGAGACGCAAGGTTTATAATTTGTTAGAATTTGTCCTAGTATAATAGAGTTCGGAAATTAACAAAATCTTTTTTAACTAATGAGATGTCAAATCACTGTTCGTATATAAACCGAACACATCCTTATTGCGCATGGTATAGGACAATATTATGACTACTTGTAGACATCGTTTGATGGCGTTTGTAAAACACTACCATAAAATCACGGTAGTGACTGGATACATGAAATAACAGGCATTTGTAGCATACGGCACATGTAACCAAGCTAATAATCTCCTAACATTTTTCTAGATGGTCAAAATATAAAGTTCACTTGAAATGAGAAAACACGTACTAGCGAGTGTTTAAGAGTAACCGGTCACTTTACAAGACGTCGAGTACACTACCCACTAAAAAAATGCCATAAACCTGACCGCCAAATGGAAAAACCATGGCCAATAAGACCAGACAACGATTGGAGCCACTGCACTGCCGTCTTCAACAAAAAGTGATTTATCTGCACAAGCGTACCAGTCAAAGCTATTTCGCTATTTCGGGCTATTTCGGGACCAGTGTCGGCGGTGTACCCAATAAATAATAACATGGTAAATGGGCTGTAGTCGTTTCGTGCCCAAGTGAAGGAAGGCAAAGAGAAGAGCCACTAGTCAACACGCTCGATCAGTTCCAGATGCCTTAGCATCAATGGTTTGCTTGCTACGCGAGCGTATAATAACATACGCTAACGACGCGCAATTTACTTTGACTAGGGCCAAAAGAGCGAAAAAAAGCGACGTCGCAGAACGATAAGACATACCGATAATTATCGGTGTCACTACGTCATCGACAGATGAAGTCGACGACGACCGAGCAATAATTGTCAATCAGCTTGCTAAAGCAGTGGTAAAATCACCAGCGGACACAACATTAGTGCCAGATGTGCTATTTTCTGTTAAGTGCGGTTGCGTAGCAGGGCTAATATTCGAAGGTGGTTTATGCGAAATTGCCTGACCAGACGCCAAGAGCTAGTGACGACAACGGATATCCTCATAGGAAGTCTTTGAAAAGGTGAGCCGCACCTAAGTTTCCTAAATAAAAATTGAGCTCCCTTTGCTTGTATGCTCAAATACCCACAGAGCTAAATAACTCATTCAGTTGCCCATTTTTAAAGGTTACAGGTATTCTCTCATCTCACAACTAAATGCTTCTTTTCTGGCATCCTAGCGAGACCATAAACAATGTCTGTGTGTTTGTTGCATAAGATAGCGTGTTTAGGTATCTAAGTCGATCTTCCGGCGGGTGTGTGCTATGGTGAAAAATGATATGGCTTGAACACCTGCGAAGTGTAACTGAGTGAGAAGTTCAGGCCCAGACATGAAATTCATTTTCGAGAAAATGTCTATAGCTATATACCAGAGGAATATAACAAGTAAAGTAAACATTTACTTGGTTCTTTAAAAATACATAGTCAAGGTAAATGAGGATTTGTCTGCTTCCCATTATTCTAGAGGTGTTTATAAAACCGTACAGTCGATCTAATATATGCTGATTAGCATTCAAATGTTAGTCAGTTGCCATTTAAAGCTAAAATAGTTGGCCCACTTCCCATAATTATATTGTACTTATTTTGCTGAATGCGTTCTCTAATCGGCTTAAGCTTAAAGCTCGGCTATAGGGCAGTAAGGACGACCTTTCTACTTTTCTTACCGCGTAAATCCCAAAGTTGATGCTCAAATTCACAGCCAGACTAAGAGAAGGCACAAAGTAAAAAAGCAGTTACAACAGCTATTATTTAATTCCGTAACGTTAACTGCAATAACGAGACGCCCGAGTGTTCACCAAATTAAATTCCCGTATAAAGCCTCATCACTTTAGGTCAGTAGAATTACGTTTTGAAAATACTCCATCAGAGTATCAGCACAGCAGAGAATTTCGTACATTAGTGAGATGTTGACCAACTATTCAGCAAGTTTTGACCGGATAAGAAAAAGTTAAGATACGTTCATCTTGTTGACAGGGCACAAAGCTGGTTCAAGCGCACTCCATAGATGCGCGGAAAACTTTGGACAGCCATAACTAGTCACATTATAAGGCTTAATTTAGCTACTGTAATCATAAACAAATTTCATACAGATCTACTTTCAGGACAAGCTTTTATTCGCGTAAAGCTTCACGAATAGTACGAAACTCGCCTTAACAGTTAAACCATATGGAAACAACTGTTTATTACCTCGATGCTTACCAGAGTGACTTCAAAGCCAAGTGTTTATGGCTCTTAAAACTAATAACTGACCTTATTTGATTATAGTAAAATGATACATTGCCCAGAATCCAGAAATTCCCTAAAGGAGATCGATCGCCTAAAACGGGAAACAGTTAATATAGACAATTGTGTTTATAGAACACAGTACGCAACGATACTACCATAAGACGTTTCTGGTTACTCACCACCAAATGCGGCTCGATGATGTTGACTGGCCGCGTACGAAGGTCTCGCATTTCTATTGAAGAGAATATTTACCAGTTCCGCACTCGAATTCGTCCCCTCCAACAACTCACCAGCCAGCCGCTTCGGATTATAAACAAAGTAAGAAAACTTTAGCGTTCTACGCCGACTAAAAGAAGCATTTCGATTTTGTTGCACCCAAAAAGTATCTGGGGCTTGAGCACACAGTGGTTATTTGTCGTTGTTAGCTATCAGGACGCACTTCCCCCACTTCAACTGTAACACTATGATCAGCTAGAAATCCGCGGTTTAAATTGGGCTGAACACCATTCCACGTAACCTTGAGCGCGTGTATGTGTATTTGACTTAACAACTAGAGTATTAGCGATAATTAACCTTTATCATTCTCAACTAATCCACTTATTGACGCATATGATCAACAATCCGGCCAAGTGTAATTATTAAGGAAAGAGAACGACGGACTAATGCATTTTTCAACGACTAATCAACCAACGACTAGCTAACACGACAAAGTATTAGCAAAAGGTTTATCACTGAGTCAATATTTTTGGCAGGCTTATTAACATTGATCTCGCTAACTGACATTGAATGGACAACTATTGCCACAATGATGGTAGTGATGACGATGATGATCATCGTTACTATTATTAGTAGGACAAGGGATTTTTTATGAATCCTGTATCAACTGGTTTCCCTAAAGTCAAGATATTATGTTAAAAAAAAAAATCTACATAATTTTCGTCAAATTGCGCATAGCAATACAAACCATTCGCAATTTTAATTTGCTAATGTACCTTATTGTGAACTTGCTCGATGATGAAATGCGCTTGGCTCTGAATGAAATCCTCATCTTCGTCACTTGAGCTGAGCGCGTCCAGGGGACCACCTCCATGAGCAATACCTGATTAATTGAAACCACAAATATTTCTGCGCGTTAGGTGGTCAAAACTTTGCGTCAAGTTTTCATACTATACATGCAAAAGACTCCTTTGACCAGTGAAGTTTCAAAGAACATGAAACTATAATCATTGAATCTCGCTATTAAATTAACTCACTGCTCCAGATAAACACATCGAATTCTTTCTTTTTCGTTACTTGCAATAAAAACGTTTTTGCTCTTTAAAACCGTGCATATAGCTTTGGGAACTATTAACTATGCGATTTCACTTATCACAGACGTGAAAACGGTAGAAACGTCTGCCATTGACAAGTCAACGGTTTCTAAACCGTTCCGATATTGCAAGACGACCGTGTTTCGCAAGAAAAATGTACTACCGACTGATATATACATCTATGTATATGTCATATATAGCTCAGCGACGAATGATGCATCCAGTCCAATCATAGCATTCTGATAACAACGATAAACGAAGAAACCTCTGTCAATGGAAAGTGCAGCCAGTCACTTTAACCCTTTGGAAACACGGCAAATGCATACACATAGATATGTCTACATGTGGACTTCAATAGCAAACAAACAAAGCCCTTATCTGTTTACAGAACATGCCCTTTGCGCGGGAATGAGAGAAACGGGGGATAAGGGGGAGAGTAAGGTGCGCGACGACTAGCAGATCTGCCGAGTTCTTATCATGGTGACTGACTAACCGGGCGCAATACAGAGCGTCAGCGAAGAGCCGCTGCGTGCAATAACCGATACCACTTCATCGTGTGCAGCTGAAAGAAAAGGAAACATACAGAATTACATCACGATATAGAAATATATTTATTGCGAGTGCATAGATTGTGCAGTAATTATAATTTTTTAGAGTTTTAATCAGCTGACAAAATTACTTTTATAGTATTGCAGAGCAGCCTTGATTCATATGGCGATATGGGGGTATATTCTTACTGCATAGTATCAGTTCTGTTAGGAATGCTGAACAAAGTGACATTCATTCACTGGGTAAATATTAACTGATCGAGGTTTTTTCTTGCCTAGATATGTTTACTGACACCTTATATACTAAGTGAATGAATAAGTTATTTAATCTTATTTAGCAAGTTAATATGAAACATCTGTAAAGTTTTTTGTAGAATTTTGTTGAAACCTTTTTTGAAAGAGGCAGTTTATATTGTAAGCATTCAAATTTACAATGTCAGTTTGCTAGGTATATACATAGTATAGTACATATATACTACACATATGAATCATGCGTAGTGTTTCACTACCTTGTTTTTAAGCATATAATTGTAAAACTGTGTAAAATCAATATGACATATTTGAAAACAGTGATGCGAACGAGATATATCACTCAAAACTCCATATCAAAAATCTACTTGAGTGCCTTAATAGTTTTCTCTAAATCCTGCCATCTTCTGTGCTAATTTATCAATAGAGAAGAACTTTAGTAGTATCAAACATAAGACTTCATTAAATACACTTACGTCATATAGCTCTCAAAAGGTTTTCTTGCCTTTGCCAGGAAACGTTTCGTCCTTCTGACCCAGCAAATGATGCTTTGATTTTAAGGTCTAAGAGCAACGATTTATGTCGTTCCATTTCAACAACAAAGGTGCATTGTTACCAAGCATTTAACTTATAAAGTTGGAATAGATGTGGTTATCTTATAAGCTTTATTCTATCAACTGGTTGTTCTATTCTACTATAGGAAAAACCATATGAAATCGTTTAGGAATTTTTATTTCTATTAACATGTATTGATACCTCTCGAGCAAAATCCTGATACCTTGCACTATGCGTAGAACGTTGCAGGCTCCACAACTTACCATATTCTATAAAATACACTCAGTTCGTGGATGATTATCTAGCATTTAGAAAGCACCCTTATGCTAGACTTAACAAACTACACAAAAAGCAAAAAGGGGACCTCACAAAGCAAATACGTACCTTTGTCTACGGGAACTCCATTCACCTTAAGGAGTCGATCACCGTGCCGGAGGCCAGCCTGAAAAGCCTCACTTTCTTCATGTACGCTGCTCAAAATACAAGGATGCTGACCTGTGCATACAGAGATGTTAAACCATAAGCAATAAAGGTTATTGATAATCTTATATATACATATATAGTATAACATTATTAATAATGTTATATTCACAGCACCAACTATTTTACAATGCTCGGATCAGTAACAATAGTAGATCAGTAATGATAACGATTATAGATAATTGCAATGAAAATGCATTAAACCGAATAACCCAAACGAACTTTTTGGTTTTACTATCTGTATTGAATATGCAAAGTGAACGGTGTTTTCGTCCGAAGCAGATCTCATGGAAAATCTGCTACGCTAAATTAATAAAGGGACATAATAAGAAATTCAAGCGTTTCTGTGCCGTTTTGGCAGCACTAAACACCGTTGAATTAAATTGGTTACTGTCCTTTATAGCTAATTCCAACTATCAAACATTATGAAAAGTTTATTTTGGATTAAAGAACAAACCTGCATGAACGCTAGGCTATAGGCGCAATTACGCTCCACATTTACATTTTACATAGTCTACAATCTTTTCTGCGTCATTCTTTGTCACCACCGCTATATTCGCCATCACTATTATTATTATTATTATTAACACGACATTTATGCTTAAATGACTAGTGTCTTATAGAGTCTCATTACCAGCGACACCATATTTGCGGCTTTGTACGTGCCGCTTTTAGCAGCTGACTTCTTTGGACCCTGCCGATACCGAAAATAGAAACAAGTTGACTTGATATTTCAATCCACTTTTACTGAATTTCGCGTCGTTCAACTCCGAAATAACTTATGCGACCACTAGCGTTGCCACGAAACTGACACCTTTGAAATTATGTATTTCAAACAGATCGAATAATGATCTGATGATATTAACCGAATCGGATTCACGTGCTGTAAGGCCAATCGCAACGTATCCATCCTAATTACGGTAATTATAGGTGGACAGTGCTAACTACGACAATAATAAAAACCTGGATATGAGTAGTTAGTTTACTCAATCAATTCCTTTAGATCGCCATTTGTAAGGTAATGAAAAAAAATAACTTTTAGTAACCATAGAATGATTGAGTATCTAGAATATTCAGTAAAGCATATCGAGACGCTTTCCAGGGTAAATTGTCATTTATATTTGTTCAATAGTTAAAAAAAATACGCTAAGGTTATGACAAAGCGATTTAGTGATGTTTTCATTTGTTTCGATAGGCAGGGGCAGATGTTACCACAAAATGGCAGCAAAAAAAAAGAACGAAAGTAGCGAAATCACTGGACTAAATAAGACGTATCAAGTAAAGAATGCCTAGTGTACGCTTTTGCGTTTAACAGTGTTCATTTGTTGAGGTAATACATTCATTTACCAGAATGATTTAAATCGTGTCGCAAGACCAAAACTCAGGTCACTGTCATCATTGTCATCATTATGTATCAATTCCAGGTTGTCAATGCTTAACGACAATAGAACGTAAGGCACGAAAAATCCATTATATTGGCCGTGATATCATTTAAGTAGTCGCTGTTATACAATATGTCATGCACAAGCAAGGAAAATGGGAGCTTATGCGTTCATGTTGTAGTGGAATATGAATGATTTGGTAACCTGTACTCCTTACTCAAAAGCGACTATTAATAATTTTCTGCTAATCATAGTAAAAATACCTAAACATTGACTCGCTACCCTGTTTCATCCATCACAATACTTTTTTGGTGATGTTCAGACACGAAAGTTATCAAAGTAACCTGGAAACCAAACTTAAATGAATCATCAAAAGTGCTGTAAACAGAGGCTCTAAATCATATGGTTTTGACTTGATATGGTAATGCCAGATCATAAAACTAATCTAGAAAAGCGCGTTAAATGGAAAATAAGTAATTTTAATAGTTTCCTTCGTGTTTAAAATCGGCGGGCAAATAAATAATGGCCTTGAACAAATGAATGAATCCAAAGCCAGATGTTGACCTCTAGTTGGCCGACAGATAAATACACAGATACAGTCCACAAGTACTTTAACCATTACTGCGGAGTAAAATTGCTGGAATTCTGGAAGTCAAAAAATAACAACAATCGACGCATCGAACAGCTTTGCGATAAAAGTAACCATTAAATAAAATGGATGAAATGATGGTCGATGACAAAAGTGATAACGCATCACATACTACTTATGAACTGACTAGAAAAATTTAATGCTTTTTTCTGCTATTTCTCGTAATGACAAACCGACAGCGAACGCCAGCGACAACACCTAAAGCAAGATAAATGACCAAACACGCCGTTGCATATACATGCCTGCACGGGGTAGATCAAAATAATAATAAGAAGAGAAGGAAGTAGAAAAAATTATCAAAAACATGTCCGAACCAGCGCATATGAGGTAATTCAATGATCAAGACGAGCCATAACCAAGGGAAAGCATTTATACAGTCACCACGCTGTGAATGATATATATCTATTTCATAGATCTTTTATCAGGGATGCAGCTCATCATTTCATTTGTCTATCATTACTATACCATCATTTGCACATTTCGTTGCCCATTGTATTGTTTTCATATCTTATGTCTCTTTATTACGAGCCTTTTCTACATGCGGTTTACCTTTTAACATTTTTTCTATGTCTTAGTTCCAACGCTGCCTACTGCTTCGCATTTTGGGGTACTATTATTTCATCTTCCTTATCGAACAAACTAAACTTTGTGTCATTGCTGGTGCTGTATTTGGACACAAACATATAGTTTCCGATATCCTCGCTCCGCAATCTGAAATGACCTTTTTCAGATTAATGCCTAGAGAAAAATAACCTTCTTTATTCACACAACTCGTGTAATGTCTATATGTCCTTGCTGCAATTTCTACAGAAGCTGAAACTCGCAACAGCGACCGCTGAGCACTGCTCTCGATATCTTAAGACCGGCCTATATTAAAGCCACGCAGCAACATCTCTTTTCATTAGTACGATAAAACTTTCATCTTTTTTACCTCATTAACATTTGCTTTAAGTGTTTCGTTCTTCTAATTTGCCCCTTCCATTCCTTAGTCCCTTCATATAAGCTGATATTGCGGTTCTGGAATATAACGGAATTTTACATGTTTGTGGAATTTATGAGATTCACTGCAGCATATACTAAAAACTAATTTGTGTCGTGTAGCTTCTCTAAGATGCTACCTAAAAAGCGAAGCCTGTACCTTAAAAAAATTTGGCCCAGCCCACTAGACTCATGACATTTTGCCTTAATTTCATCCAAATGCCTGTAAGCGTACCTGGTATTGCAAATCAATCTTTCCATCACTAGGTCAAATATAATCTGGCTTTTTGCGTCCATTTGAGCCTAGTCTTAGTTAGAGATGAGTTTCCACTGTTTATTGCGTTCAATACAACACAGTCGCAATTATTTGGTTACAATCAGATCAGATAGATGAATGTCCCACAATAAGGAAATACATATAAAATACAAACAGATACTACTATGAAATGTAGAATCTCAAATTCACAAATGGGTATTAGGTCAGTGACAACGTGCACACCTAAAACTTCACGAGTATACTTCATTTTTCGTTATGCTTTTTTCCACGTCCTTAACTTTAATGAAGTAGAAATTACCGTTTAATATATAAAAGAAAACGATTTCCTTGGATCCCATTCGAATCGTATGGTTATACGTCACATTTTTCTACAGAAGCAAACATCTTTGCTGATTCATGTAAGTGTCAAAACGCTCTAGTGATAAAGTAACAGCCACAGCCTCAGTACAAGCGCTAGACTTTATTATAATCGAATACGTGACTTCTTATATCTGAGGTCTAATCGATAATCCTCCGTGAATTTAATGATCGGTGCGGCAGAAGAGGACTTTTGGCTACTACTTTAGCCGAAGACCCATCAGAAACATAATGGTATGCACCGGTCTGAGTTCTGTGCAGCGGTGGCACAAGGTGACACTCCTTTTTCTACGCCTTGTGCACGGCAGATAACAAAGCTCGGCAGCCGGGAGTCGAACGCCCACTTGTTGCTGACCTCTTTAGCCGAGTCTGATTGGGATTTCTGTGTTAATTTCGCTAGCTCTTCAAAAGAACATTCTCACACTGCATGTCGGTGATAAATATGTATACATATATGAGGCTAGTAGTCTTTTTTTTTACAAACATTTAGCGTCGTGTGAACGTTGGTGATTTGGCACAATTTCTTTATTTAATACCAGATAAGACGACCATTCTTTTGCAATATGCATAATATCTAAATGTGCACATCGACTATAAGGATTTTTTTAATCTATTGCTGTTCATTATTTTTATGTCAAGGAAATACTCGAATAATATATAATAATAGTTAATATTATTCCTTGTTTTGAGCACTTTGTTAATTTCTGTTTCCATCGTTGTACAGCTTATGACACATTAAAACAAAGTTTGCATTACTCTAATACACCGCCCAGCATCGATATGATATATCGGACTATAATGCGTTTCTATGACCTGGTGTGCTATACCACGGAAATTATTTCACCTCTTGGTTCGGGCAATTTAACCCTACTGAACAAAGTGAGCATTTCAGTGTTGTTTAATATGAAAGTATATTTATAGATACTGTTCTTTTTACCAGGTTAAATGCTTTTACATTAGCTAGTATTATCTAGCATGTATCCTCCTTAATACATAGTGCTATTCAGTAACATGACGTTACTATCTCTCGCAACTTATTAAACAACCCTTTAAGTAGACACTGTTTCGTAACGAATCGTCATATGTCGACTGACAGGAAGAACAAGTCTACCTTACCATGGCTTTTAGTATCTATGCTTAATAACTAAATATTCAAGATGGACAATGACGCATCATTCATATCGGTAGCGATAATTCTGTCGTTTACCTGATCAAATACGATTACAACAATGGGCCAAAAAAAATTCATATTCATAAGAATGCAGAATTTCATCATATTTTCGGGTCACCTTATCAATTCCAATATGTAATTAAATATAGTTTCATATTTTAATCTTTCTTTCTCATGCAGGTTGTGTGCTGTTGGCTGGACTTGACGTAGTGACCCCCCTGGTGTCTTTCAACCAGAGGCTTGGCCGTCCAAGCCACACTGCCGATGGTCTCACATTATAAAAAAAAAGGCAGTATCGAATTATGTTGCCACTCAAGGCACCGTCTGCTTGGATCTAACCGCTGGCTGCGGTCAAATCTCTTTATGTAAGTATCTCTTTATGTATGGTCTTTATGTAAGTCATACTTTACCACTTTCGTCCGCAAACGTATTCGTATAGAGTTTATCAATTTACCTATATTTCAGTCTTTGACTATGTACGCCTCGTGCCTAAAGATCACGGTTTTTTAAAATCACAGATTTTAGACGTGCGATATCTATCGATTACTGTGGAGAATTTAGAGTACTTGCTAAAAAAATGTGTATACAAGAAGGAGCATTAGAAATACTCGTTTTTGTACTACGCTTATCACTTCAATGCAGCATTCAGAAACTTTCAATCGATAAACAAGTCACTATAGTTGTGTAAGCAATTCATGTAACTCGTGTGCGTGTTAATCTATAGTAGCTATTTATTTATTTATTTGAAATCTATCATTGCCAAGTGGTATAAGGAAACTGCAAATAGAAAACGCGTTTCAACTGCTTACAAATGGCGCAGATGATCTATCAATCACCGACTGCTTTTACGAAATACCGTAAATATGGCATTTCACCTTTCCAACCAGCTAGTAGTGTTTCAACCTTAAACCGAACACGGTGGTAAGATTCTTGCTAGGGTCTCTTAGAACTGGTAGTCTTTTAAACTAAAAATTCGTTATCTTTACTGGGCATAAAGAAGTTTCATTAATTTCCCGAGCTTTTTAAAATTTAATAATCCACTTAACTTCTAAATCGTCCTAAAGTTATAGCAGTAATACTGACGCGCAAAGCTCTTATCAAGTATTCTATATCTGTGATAGGCAAGATAAGAAGATTTTATGTTATTCAATACACATATTGAAAAAATGAAGGCAATAGAATAGAATAAATAGTAGAAGCAGAAATTCCACTGTCGATATTTGCAATGAAATCAATTTTTACAGCGGACCACGAAGAGACATGCATCTAAAATTTACCAACCTGATAAGGTTATTCCGAAGCCAGTTGGTCCCCGATTTACTCGGACAGTTTTCACTGGTGCCACAGCCATACTGCAAAAATAACAGAGATCTGTAGATGCATTCATTCGATGTAGGTGCGCGACCATGATCAGAGCGAAAAGTTATTACTGATGTTAAGCTCTCTGATATTTGTTCTACTTTCATCCCACATTTTTCATCGAGCTTGTATTGCCGTACTGTTACTTACGTAACATACCCGCGCACGATTGCGTCGACGTGTGTTCTAATCGACTTGCAAATAACAGTAATACGAATTGCTACGATAACAAAATAACTACGATAAGAAAGTAACAATAATAATAAGAATAATAACAGTAGCATCGCCATTGCCATAATAAGAACTACAACAATCGAAATGTAAAAAGGAATAAATTCAGCTAGATTAGCACCAAGAGTAAATGAGGATATCAAACCATTCCTTTTTGTTGCTTTATCTATGGCGGAGCCACATACCGCGTAGCGGGAATGCGATTCATACCGGTTACGTTGAATCAAACCATCGATGCTCGTTCCGTTTCTTTTCCAGTCGCCATCGCTTTTGGTCAGTTGGTCTTCCAGACAGACAACCGATGAAACAAAAGGGTATATGGGACGGATCACAGCTTCGTTAGTTTCCTTTCTTATCAACTCCTTGGTGTATTGTTTGTAGATGACATATTAGTCCTGACTAGAGGACTCACCAGCCCTTTATAAAGATAAGGAAAGGCTTATTTGTCTGAATGAATACTGACTATTGAAGCCAAAACGGTCAACCTGGCAAACGGCACAGCAACCAGAAGAATAGGATGCGTGTGAATTGAGGTATTATGAACAGCCGTGGAAGTAAGTGACTTCGAAAACATGACGAGCCGAATCACTACTATCTGGTGGTAATCTTCCGTTAAAAAGAGGGAAACCAATCAAAAGACGAAGATCACCCAGATATTGCCGATAATCACCTATATGCGCCACAGGCTGTGACCATTACGTCTGTAGTAATCCCATATGACACGGTCCCCTGGCCAACAGTAGCAAAGCGCAGTGTAAAGAATACCATACACGTATATGTAATGGACTAAATATGAAAAGGACAGATTTGTACGGGGTCGTCTCTACCGTCGTGTGACCATCACCTTCGACGCTCACGAACAACTGGATGGATACGCTTTGAAAATATTTCACTTATAACTACATTCAGTTTTTGCTAACATGGACAATCGTTTCAGCGCCAAGCTGAATTCTCGTCGGCCAGTCAATTCAAACAACTTGAACAGGCAAAGTGGAATCAAACAGTTTTCTCAGGTACCCAAAGCACCACTGTATCGATGATTTCCTCGTCAAAGCTTCTTTATATCTCCTAACCTTCACGAAGTACGCATACATGCATGCTTTCTATCTATCGTACGAAGCTGCGCTTTCAAAAGTTAACAAGTGCCTGACGGCTGCACCAAGTAATCAATATGTTCACCAAAAATTTTCGTAAGCGAACCCACTATACTCACCCTAGTTGACAAGATCACCCCCTCCCCTTAATCACAGATCCACCCTCCTGGCAGCAGCGATCGTTGTAGCGGCTCGTCAAACGGTAACACACATCGCACACACTTAACTAATGCCGTCAGCTCTGGGTGTTCTCATTACAATGCCATGTTTTTCACTGTCCAACAACCTCTTTCACTTCTTTCTTATGTTACTGCTCTAATTAACGATACCATAAACACTACTGCGATGAGTATGCATTGCACTACGGTCCATGATTAATTACAACAGAACAGCGAAAAAAATAACATGATAAACATCAACCTATCCTATATTGTTATTACTATTATTATCGCCACCCTTTCTCGAGTTGCGAATAGCAATATACAACATAAGCACACGATAGCAGACGAAAATCACTTTCTCTCCAGTTGGGGCCGACCTTCTCTCCTCCACCCGTCATCACCACCACCAACCGCTGAATGGGCTAGGAAACGTCGACTGCTGGCGAGTGATGTCGCTGATCTCTGCCTGTTTGTATACTGCGTCTGCAAGGTACGAAAACGAAACTTGCGCTACTGGCTAGCGTCATGTGAGAGAAAAGTTTGATCAGTTTTTGTTAAAGATCTGTGCAGCGACACGGTTTCGTGTGCCGATATTTTTTTTGTCAAGACGGTCAATGGGACACAATTGCAAGTTGGGTCTGGCTTCAATGATGAAAATGTTTGCACATGAACGCAGCTTATTAAGACTTCCAGAGAGAAGATAGGGCGAACTTTTTCGCCGTACAAAGACCTAAGTGAACATGCTAAGGATCGTTAATATTTATTATAGAAATAAATTTAAAAAATTGTAACCTTATATGTGTATCTATCATACAGGGCATGATAAAAAGAATTTACGTTCCCTTGAAAGCAACACATACAAGGCATGTATTGCCTTCAAGGAAACTTGGCTGGTATATTCAAGAAACAACGTTTGAGTACATTTGAGGTGAAAAGCATTTCAGTATCCGATGAAAAAAAAATTCAATTTATGTACATTTAAATTTAAATTCAAATTACGCAAATCCAAGTTTATGGCTGTATGTACCCTATATCGACTTGAAGTCCTATTAGGCCTATTGCATTTCAAGGGAATTAAGTTGATGCAGGAGCTAAAATATAGCAATGTGTTTAACTTGACGTGATCGGCCAGAACAATGATATATAACCCATTGTTTTAGTTTATTTTCTCATCATATTTGAGTTTATAATTTCTGACCTCGAAGGAACCATCAAACAGAACTTTATAGGATAGTACAACCGATAGGACAATTAACGGTACAGCGCTATAGTGGACTAATTTGTTATTTCTATGATTGCACATATTAAAGCTAAGGACTAGATGAACCGCCTCGCATAATCACGCATCTGTGCTACGTTACCGAAACCAGAAACGTACCACCAAAACAGAATACATGGTTTTGCATCTGGTAAGAGCTAATATTATTGTGATTTCATAAGACAATTGCGTTATTTCGTATACGCTACACATGAAATACTATATCCTTAAATGTCGATATGGCTCCGAATGTCTGTATATAAACCGGATTCTATATCGAGATCTGAAGCCCAGCAATTTGCTTATCAATGATTAAGGTTTTTAAGAATTGGTGATTTCGACTTAGTTAAGTTTTAAAGTTCACTTTCGCATATAACATCAAGCGCGACAAATCGATCAGATGATTGAACGGATTGAATAGCGGTGCAGTGTATACTTTATTACAATTTTGCGGTTGTTGTCTTACCCTATTTGAATTATCGTTTAACGTCACATCAAAGTCAGTAATCGTACGAGGAGTAGAAGAGGGTTACATGTGTTTCAGTTAACTAAACAGATGCGTATCATCATCACGAAATAAGATACAAAAATCTCCTGCTATTGACAAAGAAGTACAATTATTACAGTTGGCCGTAAAAGACAGTCAAACCAACCAATGCTATATTGTTTTGATTTAGCATTTTTTGCTGTGGCGATATATGGGATTGGTGCGGATAGGTAAACAGTAGGTTATATATTTGTCAAATCGTTGCTTTGTCCCGCTTAACTAACACTGATTAAAGATTCTTAGTTTGCTAAATTGTTGTATCATATTCAGGACCGAAAGCAACAAAAATAAAATAACGCACACAATAGTACATGCAATTAAAAAAATGTAGTTGTTCTATTAGCTCTTACTATACGAACTTACTAAAAAAGAACTTCAACTACCAATTTTAAAAAATTTAATGCTGGGCGCAAAATCAAAATTCCTCTGCTTTTAAAGTTTTGCCATTTCAATAAGCCAAGCATAGCCGAAATGTTAACACAGATAGGTGTAAGAATTCCTTAAAATAGTAATTTGCCGCAGAGAACTTCTCATCTCTGTGACCAATAATAGATGTTGAATTAGAGATAATGTGTGTAAATAGCACGTCCTATTATAGCAGAGTAGTGCCCGTATTCAAAAAACTCAGCTTCGTAAGAACAAACAGATAACCTTTCTTTTTGTATTTTGCAACCATACTGAAAATTCATACACAAAAGATAAGAGCTTTTGGGTTCTATCTATGACCGAACTTCTGGAGCGATCACCTAAATGTATTATAAATTCCTAATTTGGCTGAAAGTTCCTAGCGCAGAAGATCTTTCAAGTGCGGCGTCTTAAAGTTATTACGAAATTGTTTTGCAATGAACATTTGCTAAGTGAAGATACATTACAAAAAAAAAAGAAGAGATATTGTTACAGACAAAATCGAAATTGTGGGAATATGCTCTAGAGGTGCTTGAATAATTGGTTCATTGGTGAAATTGTTCGATCTGAAAGAAATTGATATACAGATATTCCATTAAAAAAAAAAAGAATTAATCAATGGAATGTACTCTGGGTCACAGAAACAATTTTGTGGAAAATTTAGTACAGGGTTTCTTCACACGTGGCTCCGGAATGGATTATGTGCCCACCTCATAGCGCAACAGGTATAAAGCTGTCAGTTCAATGGTCACAAGCGTTTCTGCTTTAACGAAGTAACAGAATACGAAATCAGACTGATGGTTAACAGCAGTTTGGAGCGTAGAACACGACATTCACTTGAGTTCATGGTAAAACGAGGGAGGTAAACTACAGTGAATAGGAAAAATACAGCGAGAGCTTTGTACTACCCATGACGACGATACGTCTTGAAATACAAGCAAAATATTTTAATTGTAGTTTTAATTTAAAGCTCGCCGTATATATTACAACCATTGATTTATTATGCATAGACTTTCATGTCTGTTCATCCACGTTCATTCCAAGATGACATCAATGCTTCGGTCGAATCTTGCATAAAATGGAGTAGCGCCGTTTAAATTTGGCGCGGTAAGTGCGTCTATTTGAACGCTTCGGTGTAACATGCGACTTTGCCCGCCGTCGTTCGAACTGCTCACGTAAACATAATTATATGGAGCCGCTAGCTAACTGATGGATAATTTTTATGTTTACTGCACAATAGAATCGCATTTGCTATTCTATACGCTTGTACCTTGAGTGCTGCCCATTCTCAATATACAACCGGTGAGGTTTATAGTGTACTCATGTAAGTGAAACTACGACCTATTCATTAAAATTATTTGTACGGAGGTATAATAGATGTATTCTCTTAAGTACTATGTGTTTCGTTATAGTAGAACACTGCAACCCTTTCTTTGATCGATGATAGAATAATGCATAAACCAATCGTAGATAAATCCATTCTAGGATAAATCAGGTAAAAGTCCATTACGCATGTTAACCTGCGGTTCAACGTGTAAAGTGCTCGTTTTGCAAATTATTTTTTAGCAGTACATAATATTTACATTATTCTGGTGATATTTGGTTCAATTATGTTCGCAGTATTATTGGCGGTACTTTTTAACAATTCATATTCCATTTAGCTCGCTGTCTTGTCATTGACATGTTATCGTGTTCTCTATATCACATCGATAAGTGCATCGCTTGTAAAAGATATATATATATATATATATATATATATTATGAAAAGAAATTATACATTTTCTTATTATTGATCAGAAATTAAAAATATTCTTAGTAGTGTACTTACTTGCTGGAGATTATCCCTGATGCCTTAATGTAAAATGCGCCATTAGCAAATGAGGTTTCTACAGCTCTGGCTGAGCTAGCTTAATCTATAGGAAGGTGTGAGATTTTCAGCATTTATCAACACAGAATTGGTGATTGCATTCTTACAGCAGTCAAAATCTGTTATGGGCATCTATGGTATCCTTAGTCTACTCATTTTATAAAACTTTTTAGCTTAGTGAATGGAGTCGTAAGGAAACCGTTGGCTTGAACGAATTTTGTGGTTATTTGGATAGAAATATTACTTTGATCGTTTAATATTATAAGGAATAAGCTGTTTATGGGATTTCGATGAAAAAAACTAAGGCTAGGTAACTGCTGTCACTGTTACAGTCTTCAATGAAAAATGGCTGATATTGACTTATCAGCAGAGACTCGCTATCAGAAGATTGAGTATCTGGGCGAAGGCCAGTTTGCTACTGTTTTCAAAGCAAAGGATGCGAATACGGGAAATATCGTCGCTGTCAAAAAGATTAAGCTCGGCTCCAGGTAATTTATTGAGCAGAACTGAAGTCCCCATATGATAAGCACCAAAATTGTTTTTAATCAATAAGTAATTACAACGCAAAACGTATGGTGGTATGAGAGCTGCGAAAATAAACATCAATTGAAATTCATCAATCAACTGAAAAAAAACAAAAAGAAAATAATTAATACCAGTATAAATTTAATTGCCTTACAAAAAAGGTTTAGTAGTACTCAGCTTGACTAAACTAATTTCGAACATCTACGTCTGCTTCTTATATAAAAATTAAGTAATGCAATCTCGCGAAAAGTTGATCATAGAAGTAAAAACAGCGATACAGTTGAAAAGCCTTTTTTTTTGTAACGGACTTGAACAACATTGCAGGACAATTTCGAACTATGGATATTAGAAAAATGCGCAGAAACTATGCTGACATCGGAAGTATTGCGTTTTTCAAATCGCCTCCGGGTCACCGGATTAAATTCGAATATTAAATTTATCGAAATTTTACTCGCAATGAAAGTAAATATTCATACTCGGTTTAATTTAAATATATATATATACTTATTATTTTTAGTGTTTAATCAAAGCATTACGTATTTCAGGGCTGAGGCACGCGACGGCATTAATAGAACTGCTCTAAGGTAAGGAAACGTCAAAGCTAAGCTTCTCAGGTATTTCTTAATGGATATTTTATGTTCAAAACGTGTATTCCCTCCTTGTTATATTAAATCATCTTTATTCATATTACTGATAACAGATTTAGTATAGACAAGTCAACACCATATTCAATATCAAATTGAGGTAAAGAACGACTTAAAACTTTTCACTTGATGTGAGTTATACCAATCTTATAGACGAATTTGTGGAACTAATTTATTAGGCTACCAAGTATAAGATTTTATTCATTGACGGCCAACTTGTGTTCCCACAGGAAGATTTTAATTCTTTTACCAACTGCTATTAAGAAAACGTTTTTCAAATCTATCTTGCTTATTCTATTGATAATCGTTAGGATCAGTCGGCAGTGCAGGTATTGTGTGTGCACCAGTGAGTAGCACATATTTAGATAGAACTGTTTCGTGAGTAGTTCTGCCGTGCTTTGATGTTATTTTACTTAACAGTGAACTGTCGTATTCCAGAGAAATCAAATTAATGCAGGAGCTGCAACATGAAAATGTGCTTAGCTTACTTGACGTGTTCGGACAGAAAAGTGACATATCCCTTGTATTTGACTTCATGATTACTGATCTCGAAGCGATAATCAAGGTATGAGAACTAGGGGCTCAATAGTAAACATGTTCCGAATTTATTTTTCTAGCATATGTGAATCAGTTAATCCTTGTGAGGCCAAGTTTTATATCCAGACATAGGTTTTTCTGTTTGAAACTAAACAGTCCGCACATGCAACTATATGAAGTTTTTGAGTTATAAGTCCGGCTGGCTTCCAACATGATATGAAGTGTGTCAATGCCCGTGTTCGAAGTAAACGTTGAAACACGTAACGGCCTTACCTCTTGTTCCCATGTTTGGTCGGCAACAACTACACGATGGTTACTAATTAAAGGATACGATTACATAGTATTAATTTAACCTTAGTCATACATAGTGATAGCTTAGTTTTAGAGCTTAGACTTACAACTAAAATCAAGATTTTGAATAACCAAGGTAATTCAACATTTCTTCGTTGAGAAAGCAAATCGTTTGAAAATGCTCTATCAAATGATTCAGAGAAATGAAATTTTTAATACAAAAATACTTGTCATGATTATACGCTTGGCTATGAATTTAAAATTGTGCTTCTGCAGGATTCTCGCATAATTTTATATCCGGCGCATGTAAAATGCTACATTCTTCAATGCCTACGTGGTCTCGAGTACCTCCATCATAACTGGATCCTACACCGCGATCTGAAGCCTAATAATTTACTTGTAGATGACAAGGGTATCTTGAAAATCGGTGATTTTGGTTTGGCTAAATTCTTTGGATCACCCACGAGAATTTACACTCATCAGGTAATGCAAGGAATGTAGTAAAATACAATAGTATGATTCCCTTATTTATATGGCTATGAATTGTCCGATCGACCATATTATAACCGGTTGCGGACCCTTCTCTATGTCGCACAGCATAACTAGATAATATTGTTTTAGGTACATAGTTATCTTAACGCAATGAAAGTGACTATAGGACTGCGGGCCTACATCCATAAAAATAAAATAAAAGCAAAAAACCGCGTTGGTGTTTCTAAAAACAATTGAATCATACAGTATTGCGTGCCGAATAGTATTATAATAAGTGTCGAGACAATATAATGGGATCTTATATATATGTAACGCAAACCCTGATTACAGCAACTATCAAGCTTGAGTTACAACCCTGTTCCTTTTGTATTTAGGTCGTTACGAGATGGTACCGGTCTCCGGAGCTCTTATTTGGTGCTCGAATTTACGGAACCGGTGTAGATATGTGGGCGATGGGTTGTATACTGGCCGAACTTTTACTAAGGTACAATATTTACAATTATATTATAATTAATTATATTATAAAATGTTATGCACGCGTGATCTTAACTGTACTCTATGGCATCGATTATCACAGAATATAAATAATTCGTTGATTATTGATCGTGGACTTGTAAGAATGCTATGTTGTGTTCAATCCAAGCGTGATAAGCTGAGACTCAATTGTACAACAGAACAGCGCATTTGAGAGAAAAATTTAAACCACTAATTACTTTCAGTTACAACAGCCCTATGTGACTAAATTCTTATATGTGTGTTATATATAAATATGGCAAACATTTGACTATTAGTATAAAGACAATTACCGGATTGAGTGTGATAGCATCAGTAGTAGCCCGAATGAAATCGAAACTTTAGTTAATAACATGTTGCAGGGGCGTTTCTTAGGGTACCCTTTCTAGCTGGTGAAACGGACCTGGATCAAGTGTCAAAGATCTTTCAATGCATGGGTACACCCACCGAGGAAACCTGGCCTGGCATCACCCAATTGCCGGATTACGTTGAATTTAAGGTATAAAGGGGTGCCGTAGTGCAAACACTCTTTTTCCTGAAGAATTCGAGTAAAAATCATTCTAACTCTCTCTCGCATATTCACACAACTTTTGTACTTTTGTTAGTGTATAAAAAAGTCGAAGTTATCATGATTATCGAACCATAATTTATCTTACATTATTGAGAATCACCTCTTAATATCAACTACTCTTCTAATGGCGATCTTTCTTATCCTGTTTGATAATAGACTTTTCCAGCGACGCCCTTCGAGGTGATCTTTACTGCCGCTGGAGACGATCTTCTCGAATTGTTGCATAAGCTTCTTGCAATGGACCCCCTCCAACGGTAGGTGGAGATACAGTTATGGTATAGTAGTTTCACAAGGAAAACAGATATTTATTTTAAAGTTTATATGTTTCAAACTCTAGAGATTTAAGAGAAAGTTAAAAACATCCAGAGACAGCTTTTACGAAATTTGATGACAATACGTCACCATTATGGAAGTGCGAGTAAGAATTTCTATTTGCTGCATTATCCTATTACGTACGGTGCACATTCAGAATTATACGGAGCTCCTATCAAAAGCGATACAACTGATATTTCTTCTTTCAGCACTGTTAGTAACTTATTTATTTTAGTAATTTATTGAGCAGGAACGCCGAAGGTTAATCAGAATTTTAGCCTCGTTTATGCCGAATGCAGCAGACAAAGGTGAAGCTCGGAATAAAACTAGGCAAAAACTTCTGTTCAGTTAGAGTACATCACAGAACTTCGCACTATTCGAAACTCAAGAGGCTAAGAATATTAAACGTTATAGGATATTGTTAGTATTATTCAGATACGTTCATGTCGTCGCGTGTGTGATGAGCACTTGTGAAGAACAGCTCTGTTTTATGGCATGAAGCTATCATAAGAATTATTCGACCAAAACGCGCACTAGGCACGATTTGTCTTTATCTGTAAAAAAAATAAAAGGTCAAAACTATCATTCTACTATTAAAGATGTATCGTTTCGAAAGATATTCACAATGTTTATTCGAATTATCTGGAACCTTCATGTTTCTTTATTCGACTGCTCAGGTGCACGTGTACCGAAGCGCTGAAGATGTCTTATTTTTCGAATAAGCCTCACCCGTGCGAGCCTATCGATCTTCCGTTACCGTCAAAACACAAAAAAGAGCAGGAAAATAAGCGGAAAGTAGAGCAGTCCGCTGAGCAGGAGTCGAGTGTGCCACGAAAGATTCGCTTTTAGGTCGATTTGGCGAAGAAGAAGCGCTAAGGGAAAACCGCATGTGGGACAAACCAAGACAGATTGCCCGATGAACAGCCCAAACAGACCGTTTGATACTTTACTGTTTTTTGTGTTATTATTTTCGCGCACAAGTAAGGTAGTAAAAACGGGAAGGACATTTGAGGTTCAATTTATTAGGATCATTACGGTACCTACTGTATATAAACGTATGCAAGTGTAAATAAAGTTGCATGTACTATTTATAATTACATAGCATTGCTGTTTCTATTACCCAATGTCCTCGTTCAGATAAATAATTCGCTTACAAGGAAGCTCTACGTTGTGGGCTAAATTTGGCATTGTTCATTTCTAAAACAATGGCGCGATTTAGATGAAGTACCATGACTATTATTATCACCATTATTATCATATTGCTAGTGCTATTAATTGTTATTTTTTTTATAGCATTCAGCTTGCCTTGAATCTTATACTTGGAAGAGTAGCGAGGAGGGACAGTGCTATTGTAGTGGGTAAGTATGATTGCGGAAACCTAGAATGAACTAATCCCTATCCATATGAAACTGCGCCTAACGGCTGTAGTTGATTGTGCGTGTCAGCCCGGTAGCATCGGTAAAACGGCAGTATATGGCTCATATAGATGGGCCAATAAAGGCAGTAGAGGACATCTGGATTGGTCGACGAGATTGGCAGGGCTGGCTTTTAATGAAACCGTGCCGAAAGCGCAGCTTATTGGAGCAGCCAAGAGACCCTGTAGTTTGCGTAGCACAAAGGTGTATATATTGAAAGCCTTGAGGAATAATGGAGAAGGATACGTAATGGATCTTCACGGCAAAATCTAATAGGCCTAGTTTCTTGAATGTTCTTTCAGACAACCCAAGTAGAACGATAAGTCTTATTCGACGATATACGATAAGCCTTACAGTCTTGTTTTACGGTTAAGAAGCATGAAGGTAGCTTCGGGAAGTGAAGGAGAAAAGGGTTTCTTCTGCCCAAGAGCATGATTTTAGCAGTATTGGCAACATTTGTCTCCAAAGTAACGCGAACGTTGCATTTAAAACGTCGGTCAACGGATGGAAATTCGGGAGCTGTTGTTGCTTGCAACTAACTGCTTTTTTGTCAGTGTAAGGTCAAGCGGATTGCTATTAGAAGCTATTGTGCCATTCTAGATCCGGAAGCCGTATCTGGTCTTTCACAGCTTGTTGGAGCTTCGGCATTATTTGCATGTCAATAGGGCTGTTCGAGCGTCTCCTAGGCCATACGCCTATTGAGAGTAAACAACGTCAGTCTGTAGTATTGATGAAAAGTGGCGATGCCATGGAATTGTAATCAGAGAGGGTGTCTAATCGCATGATGTGTAATCGGTATGGAACGATCTGAAAGTTTTCGCAACAGAATTGAAGGCTCAGAAGCAGCGCTATTTGTTTGCCAGCTTGTGAAATAACGGACTTCCGTTCGATTGCTATAAACGGGTCAACACTAAGAATCGGTCGAAGAAATTGCTCGTGAGATGCAGACAACGCTTTGTACAGCTGCGTCATATCGCCTGGTAGACGCGGCCGAATTGGTACGAACTAAATATGAGTTATATTTCGTGAAGACTAAATTAATTTACGTTGAATGGCTATGGAATGCGCAATTCTACCAACCGATAATGACGCTACGTCGTTCATATTTGTAGGCGAGGCAAATGAGTTCAGCAACCCATATAATTAATATTATTATTAGTGTTAATGTAAGATAAAATGAATTGCCGATAATTATGTCTATTCGCTAAAAAAGCAGTTCTTACTAAGAACTTGCAAAAAGCTTGCGAAGGAACCACCTGTCGTCCTTCAATTTGCAAATTGTTGAAAGTATCATATTCCGAATTTCTGACGCCATTATAATAATTTATGTGGTTATCACCGGTATGGTGATTTAAACGTTTTCTATGCAATAACGCTGTTACTTAGAATTGCTCTGAAATATAGTATCGCGTGTAGAAATATATTTAGAACAATAACTACAGTAGAACAAGATTTCGATTCATTTCAGGCACTTGTCGAGGAAAAATCTAGTATTTCCAATCGAATTCAGATGCAACTTACGCAAATGATGTGGTCTCGTTTAGAGTCTAATCAAAATACCCTAAAGCTGCAAAATTCCATAGTGTTAGGTAAAGTGCTTTAGCAAACGATAATTTCTTCTTTTACAGCCACCGTTTCAATGAACTACCGTTTTAGCTAAGAACTACGTGAGTTTTTACTTGAGCAAATCTCATCTGTTTATGTGATTCGTGAGGGCTGGTTACAATTAGCTAAATTTACATTGTGGATATTCCGTAATTTTCTGAAGTAATGAAGTATCCGTTAATGAATCCCCGTCAAGCAGACGAATTTCGATAAAACTGAACCTTGGAAGACATTTTCTAATAAAAAGCAACGTTATTGCTTGAACTGAAATTTTCGTTCAAGACGTTCTACGGCTGCACCGTCATAACCTATTTGATTTTTGACAGGAAGTGTAAGGTCCGTCGACGGGCCGCTAGTATATCCAGGGAATCGCAATACGATAGTATTCAACTTGAATCATATGGAAATAGGATAATAATTTCGTGGAAGCTTGTTTCGAGACTATGTTTTCGATACACAGGAATTGCTTCATTGACGTGTAAATTTCGCTGACGTTTGTACTGAAACCTTGTAACAACTTTCCAATAAAAGAAAACGGGTTTGACTGGTTTCCACCTAAATATTTCGCTAATGAAACAAAGATGACCTGTGTGTATGACCATGCATTTATTCGTTTCACGTGTTTGATGAAATCACAAAGCCAAGAATATGGTAACATCTCAAGTCAACTGCATAGATGACAATCAGGGTGCGCAGAAATAAATTCATTCTCACCTGTAATACCCATTTTTTAGTTCTATGTCTAGTTCAACGCAAATATCAGTACTAGTAACAAATATAAATTTCATAAAGGCTGATTTCTCAATTCGATAATGAAGAAGATCTGGGAGAATTAAAAAGCAGAAGTTTTATTAACTTCTGATTTTTATTTTATCTGGTTGTTTTACTTGTGCAAGTCCAAACTTTCATTCTTTACTACTACATGCTTTATGAAGTTGTGTATTTTCAATATACGTCTATTGTTTTATTTGGCTTGACTTAAACACATACTGAAATTCCGATAAAAAGGAATGACACATTTCCAAGCTATCAGGTGTTTTCAGCCGATTGAAAAACTACTTCGATTGAAGGAATTTTAGCAGCACTAATCCAGAGAAGTCAAAGTACGTTTTGCAAAGGGTTCCTATGAGGGCTTTGCCCGTATGACAAAAAGTAAACTTAATCTGCTCAAACCGATGATCCCTGTCGGCTCCTTCTCAAACAGACGCGTCGGCAAACGTGTAAATGTGTTGAATTAGCTAGCCCTTGTATACCGGACCCGGTTTGCTATCTCCGTTCATAGCCATAGTTTGAGAAATATGCGACTTACAGACCAACAAGGAAAGAGCAATAGGGAGGAGATTTTTGTTGACTCAGATTTTAAACATCTTGCATGATAAAGTTTCTTAATAACAATGAGGAAGAGAGTTATAGCGTATGGAATGTTGGTAAGCAGATCATAACCAGCAAACGAAGTGTTCTTTGGCAGGTTCCTCCATTTAGCTTTCCTGGTGGACGTAATTCGTTACGTGCCTTTTTTCTTGTGTATCCTAGTGACATGTATGCCAGCTATAGGATAGCATACAGTGATATGTAAACCATTAGGGTAATCACGAATACATTAGCGGCCGCTGCTCACACTCCACCTGCGAGTCCAGTTTCGTCACTGTTCAATATCCTGTCTTAGCTGGCTACTTTCTACCGTTAACGATTTATCTATAACTGCAGTAGTTCATTTTCTACCGTCCATATAATTACTACTGGCACCAAGAAGTCGTGCTGCCCTTCTGTTCTATACGTTATAAAACTACTACTAGCCGTAAATTAGCTGGATATATCAACGACTTAAACATCCACCGATATAGTACTTGTCAAATATCGAGGCATACCATACAAATGTCGACTTCTAAGACATAGATGCATTGAAAATTAAAGTAACTTCCAATAACTTGCTTTTACGAATTAACAGAACGTTGGCAACAATTAATGATAAACTGAAGGGCGAAAAATAAAAAGAATAACGATAAGTTGGGTCTGCTTTATATCTACCACAGAACTGTGAGCCTGACATGTCTTATACCAGCATCCCTTATACACCTTTTGTCAGCAGAATACGTTTATAGCATCTCATTTCAACTGCACAATTAAGTATATATATATATGTATATAATTCTGTTCGATTTGGGATTGATTCCTACATCCAGATATCTTTTCCAAAAATCTGTCTGAGTCTTAAAGGTTTGTAATTTGTACCTATTGTGTCTTATATTGCTTCTCACGCGTGTTACACCGTTACCGACTGATGAGGCTTTTGCCAACAACAAATAGCCTTCAACACGTATTCTACGTACTCGCTTAACCGTTTTTCGTACCAGTTGTCCACTAACTCAGGCACATACGTGGCGTATCAACCTCCATAAGTAGTTGTAGGGTCACATAATGAAGTAAAGAGATAGCTGCAGTGTATATATTCGTTGCTGAACAGAACGTTGCTTGCCGTCTGGTTATAGTGGATACAGAATCTATGGAAACTAATTAACTCTGTCAACTAACTGATTTTATTATCTTTTTAAAACGATCCTCCTGCTGATTACCGAACATGAGGAAAATGATTGCGATATAGGTGGATCAAAAATAACCACAACGGAGGCAAACGAAGTGAAAATAATCCATATGACCAAGAAACGCGTGTTGCTTCTTAAATAAAGGTGAATACGAGTAGCGGCAACAGGAATGGTTATACTATTACATACTTACAGCAGCATAGATATCTCTATTAGATTTACATCATCGGATAGTTCCAAACAAACACCGATCACAGAAACAACTATCGTAGATGAAATGTTTCTTTGTAATCAGGCTAAGCATGGAAGAGCATGAGGGTTATGATAGAGTTTCATTTTTCTTCATCTTTCTAAATCTGTAAATAGATAAGTGCAAAGTATGAAAAAATCGTAGTTGAGACGATTTTGCTCACGCTGAATTTGTTCGTAATAGGTCACCATCAATAAAATGATAACTTATGATGGATAGTTACTTCAGCTTCAAAAGACAAAAGAAAAAAGTTCCACGGCCTTAACGGTTGTCT